GTTGAGCATCCTTGCACTGGTTTATCTTCTGCTTCACCATCCTCCTCTCCTCTATCAGCTTCCAGGTATCCGTCGAGATCCATTCCTTGTCTTCTTTCTTCTTCCTTCCTAATACTGTTGTGCAGGTTTCTTTCCACATAGCTTTCAAAGACTTCCAGTGTTCTTCCACACAGGTTTCTTCAGGGATGTTGCTCGATGTCTCCCATTTTGTCTTGATGGCTGCCTTGAAGATCTCCTTTGTAGTTTCATCCTTCAGTTTCCGAGTGTTGTACTTGAATTGAGGTCTATCACCAGCTTCCTTGAAGGCTTTTAACTTGATTTGGAAGGTTCCTTGCACTAGATAGTGAGTGGTGTGAACCTACATCTGCTCCTCTTCTTGACCTTGTGTTAAGTAGACTGCGTCTCCATTTTCTTGAGATTGAGATAAAGTCGATTTGATTTTTAGTGTGTCCATCTGGTGAAGTCCATGTCGCTTTGTGGATATCTTTGTGCCTGAACACACTGCCTCCAATCACCAAATCGTTGAATGCACAGAATTCTGCAAACAATTCTCCATTCTCATTCATTTCACCTAGCGCCTCTCGACCCATGGTTAGTTCTCTTCCCGTGTTGTCCCCTCCCAGTTTGGCATTCATGTCGCCCATTAGAATTTTGATATCGCCAACTGACGTCTTGTCCAGTGTTGATTGAAGTTGTCTGTAGAATTCCTCCTTTTTCTCCTGCTCTGCATTATTTGTAGGTGCATAACATTGTATGATTGTGACCTTTCTTCCTTTTGAGTTGAATCTTGCTGTCATGATCCTGGAGGAGATTGGTTCCCACTGCATGAGAGCCTTCGATGCTCTTGAGGACATCATGATAGCCACTCCCTCAGTGTGCTCGTGGTTGGCGTCTGGGTGACCGGAGTAGATTATTGATTCTCCAGTTGACAGTTTGGAGAGTCCACTCCCATTCCATCTGCTTTCGCAAATCCCAAGCACTTCGATGTTATACCTTCTCATCTCCTTTGCAATCTGGGCTGCCTTACTGGGTTCAAACATCGTGCGGACATTCCATGTCCCCACGTTTACTTTCGCTTTCATCGAGAGAAGACACATCGGCCAATTGGCTTCCCGAAGGCTTTCACCAACTGGCGTCATTTCGCCTCTCCGATTCCAGCGGGGAATAAGTTTGTTTTCATTTTTTATATTTTGTTTGTGCTTTGAAGTTTCTTTAGCGGTTAGATTTGTTTTACGGGGTAGGGTTGCTAGCCCTATGCCCAACCTTCCCTCTTTACCCGGGCTTAGGACCGGCTAGTAACTAGTAAACTAGTTAACCAGGCGAGGTTAGTTTTTGTTGATAGTTTGGGCTAATTTACTACAAAACATCATATTGAAGAAACAGAAGACAAACACGAAGAAAGAATGGGTATTGCGAACAATTGGAACGGTAGTCGTTACATATGGTACACCTTGCTCTAACCCAGTCATTTGCAAATATGCTTCTTTCCTCTCTTGGTCCGCTCTTCATACACTCTTATCAGCAGCATCCACTATAGTACGCCTGTTGCGTTGCTCTTGGCAGAAACCTTACTTACTGCCGGTAATTCCCTATGATTCCTGCCACCCTCTCGACATATACTACTTATATCCATTGTTACCAGCAACGCCCATAACAATTTGACTAAAGTCATTTTTAACTGACAACTATTTCAGCAAATAAATCACTTAGATTCACAGTCACAGGATCAAGAGTTTGTCGACTGTGTTGCACATACCAGTAATAGCTTAGGTAAAATCATGTTATTCTTGTGGGATTGTAAGCCTACTTTAGAAGTATCCTTAGCCATGGCTAGGTTGAAACTAATGGCGCCTAGATAGTCAGTTTGTTCTGATACCAACAAAACTTGACGGTTGAAGGACAACTGAAACTTAAACAGTTGTTAATTGCCGATGATAATCACGAATGAAAAGCATAACACCAGGTAATTCGAGTAATACGAAAAAACGGTACAGAAGTAATAACTTGATAAATGCTGAACACCAACAATAAACGAGCTGAATTCATACCCTTAATTTTACTGGTCATTATCGCTGAATTATTTACAAGTGAAATTGTAGGCTGTTGGTTTTTTCTTTTTCTGTGTAAAGAAATAAACAAATTGATACTCGATAAAACTAAGATAATATAGCCGACTATCATATGGCTACTGAATTCAAATAAGTAGTATACTTTGTGAACTTCAATACTAATAGCATCTTGGGATACGTCACATTCAAAAAAAACCTGGCTTGATTTCCACTACGTCGATGAGAAAAATTACAGGAAAATGTTTGATGATAATTACAAGTAATGTTATTATTATAGATGTGTACAGCTACCTCCTCGTTAACCATTTCCTTGCTGTCAGTGGGCAAATTAAACAGACAGCACGCTGAGCAGAGAAGATACATAGCAAACCAACACTTAAATTGATTCCAACCATTGATAAATAGGTGTGTAGTTTACATGCTACTATATTGAGTGTTAGTATATCATAACCTGTGGATAAATATATTGTGTAACGTAGGACTAATATCCATAAATAAATGGAATCACTGAATGCAAGGAGAATTAACTGTAAATCTGATGTTGAATACGATTTTAGACGAAATAACCTAATATGTTGATGCACATTTCTGTTAGAAATATTATTATTACTAACTTGAGTAGTAAACAACAGGTGGTTTTTATGAGATATTGTGAGTCGGATTAAAATATTTCCTACTGATCCGAAAATGATAATGAATATTGAATAACTCAATAATATTCCCAATATCGGCTTTTCGATGTCACTAATTGAATGATAATCCATATGTCAATGAAAAATGCTTTCTCCATAATGAAGCAGAACTTCTTTCCACTAATATTTTACGATATACACTGAGAGTATAAACTACATCTTATCTACGAAAACAATTAAAAGACTGAATAGTGAACGGAGTAAATATTAAATATGAAGTTATTACTTTTGAATTAAAAATGATTGGTTCATTTGAAAGCTACTAGAAATAATGACTGATAGTGTATGTACTAGACGAGTAGAAAAAACTAAATTGAAAAGAACCAGTACCAATTTAGGTGGAAATACAGAATGTACTGCTAAAAACCAACAGCAAGACAAAATGTTAAAGAGAAAAGTACACCAATTAATAAGGCAGAAATGAGATGCTTGAGGCAAAGTATATATATTTCCGTTAAGTATACATTTTATCTAAACACGAACTTCACATTCGAATGTCGATTAAGAGTTGAAATATTGAATGACAGATAAACCGCACTGATTACTGTATGACTGTAAAGATGATACGAAGTTACTTCAAGTAAATCGCCCAGTAGCTGGTTAAAGAGGGAAAAAGAAGCAACAGAGAACGGGGAAAAGCGGAAACTGGTCATCTTTTCGCGTTATAGATAACAACAATTGTAAATGGTAGGAAACAAAGTAGTGAATACCAACGAAAATCACTTAACACATAAAGTTTACATTTAAACTAGAATTACAGAGAGAGACAATATATTCAGGTTTCAAGGTAAATAAAACTGTTCTTCAACTCTTCATAAGTGCTTTTCATACATGAAGGAATTAGTCCGAATTCTTACCACAAATATGACGTACTGTTTACGATGCTGTCATGATTTCAAATCGACAATTGGAAACTAAAAATCCCAAGCTGCAGACAACAAGTACCACTCTTTAAGAAAAGTTAAAACCCAAGATACTGAATTTATGTTGTTTGTGAAAAATGTACAGCTTTCCACAAAAGCTTCATTGGATATTTTGTATCCTTGTCTGGTTAGATGTCAATAGAAACTAATCTGTGAGTTGCGCGAAGACTATGTATCTAAATTCGTCGCACATTGGCTTGTATAAAAAAAAATGTATCTAAAACCTTGGAAAACACACTGAAGGGCCGAAGGCTGAATGATAAAAGTTGCAATATTTAGTCACAACTTGAATGATGACAACGATTCCATACTGAACAGTAGGTCATAATCCTTGTTGTAACTAAATTCCTTATGGCATCTGTCGGTACAAACTGATTTACTGCTGGATGGTAACCAACTTTAATCATATGATGTAGTCTTAAGTGTTAACTGAGTTTCCTCAGTCAACTACGCACCACTGTTACCAACATCAAAGATCATCAATGCAACGTAAATCTCCGAACGCATGACTGGCTCAACTAGGTTTGATTTCTGAATCCGGCATTATTTTTTCTTAAGACAGTAGATATGCCTTATTAATGAGTGCTAAGGAACCTGAAACATAACTTCAAGGTTCATTGTTGTAAGGTTATTATATTTCATCAATGGAAGGGCATAACTTAGTGACATGTTAGACGCCTTCATCAGATGCAACATACATGTGTTTGTTGGGTGATGCTTAGAGCACAATTTATCGTTTATAACTACGTCATAATCACATGATTCGAGTTGACAGAATGTGACGAACCGCTTTTACATTGATTGCTCACTGAATAGCAAAAAAATTCCTTGTTGTTTAATACTGAGTCCCAACCGAAGTCAGTCACCTGGTCAGTTTCATTTAAACTTTCATCTCATCACACAGATGTAATGTGTTAATATTGAATATCATTTACGAACTAACAGAACTTAAAACAACGTATTCATCAACCAGTTAGTGCATTCACTAAACAATATCGGTCGCTTTCCACCGGATAAATATTGGACGGGATCGTTACCACCTAAAAGAGATTTTCCTTATAATGAATGAGAATGTTTAGTGAGACGTCAAAATATCGGATAGGCAGTACGTCTCACAAAAAAGTGGATCTAAAGGAGATTGATGGAGTTGAACGAACAAACATCAGCTGGAAGAAAAGTTTTCAATTCAGATTCGAGAAATTTTGGCCAACCAAGGAAGCATTTCTGCCACCAGTACCTGGACTTTTCGTATTACCATTTCGTTATGATTGCTAACAATGCTGATTTATTAATATACGTGTAAAACTTGGGCACTGTGGTAGGAATTAATTCCATATTCGATTTGTTTATTTGATTTGTAACACACAATAATGTAGTATTAATTACTCGATGACGTTTCGAGCATAAATTATTGCTCATAATCATATCAATGCTGATTTATCACACCTCTATCAAATAAAGGATAAAAACTGCCTACTAAACCAGGTTCAATCCCTTTCGTTCTGTCTGGACTAGTTTGCTGAGACGTCTATAGTGTAGCATGAATCATGCACCCTCTGGAAAAAAAATGAGCAAAATTTATAAGCTAGTTAACGACTGACATACAGTTTATTAACAAATCCAAAAAATTGCTTAGTAGCACGATGGAAGTATACAAGAGCAAGAAAACCTTCTGACAATGACATAGAAGCAAACGGATTCTAAACACTACGAGTCACCAGGTACAACACAAATGATGAATACAGAAAAAGAATGAAACCAAACACTGAAAAATAAAATGTGAATAAGCAGTGGAATACAAATAAGAAGCTTTAGCATTCTGTAGCACTAAGACAACGTAAACGAATTTTTAAAGCATCCTCTAGTAAATAATCCCTCAAATTCCACAATGCATCAGTCACTGAACAACTTTCTACTTTCTTGGGATCAGCGAAGAAATTTCCAACCAATTGATTAGCAACATTTGGTTGAATTGGAGGGGCAGTATCCGCCGAAGCTGACAGTTGATTATGCCAATCACCTAATCCACCAGGGGTATTTTTACGCAGCCGATTTATGTAACTGAAATAAGAGGGATAAAATGTAACAAAAAATTATTGCCTGACTGTGGATTTAAACTCATACCAAAAATGGATATAAACGTAAGTGATTACTCAAAGAAAAAGATGATCAATCACAAGTACAACGGCAAAAGCTTCTAAAAGTAATCAGTTAGAATTCTGGAAACTAGATGTAGCCTATAGTTTAGTGTTTTAGCCGTTACAACGGTAGTCAGTTATGTTTATTGTTTTTAATATAGTTATTCATGGCGTAAGCTGTTAAACACGATCATAGTATAGGAGTAACCATGAATACTTACAGCTCTCCAGTTGGTAGTAGGATTTTAGCGATCAAACTCATGAATTTGTTCGAGGATAAAATACTTGGATGAATGAATTTTAACTTGAGTCAAGTCACTGCTGGCGTTGGATGAAATCGTTTGAAGTATAATTTGACACAAAAAATGAGTAGTCAAAAGTTGAGAATGCAACGATAACCACAAAAACGGAACGCCTCTAGTTCAGATGTCCTGATTGATAGGTAAAAGGGTAGTATTAGTTGAGTGTAAATGAATAGTTAAAAGTGGATTCAGTTATCCTAGAACCACTGTACACTATGCAAAATGGGTTTCAGTGATTAAGTCAAAGAATTCCCTCCATGGTAATAAGGTATGTTTAAGTTCATATAAGCAATTCTTATCCATTACTAGTGGCAAGTATGTTATCAACTCATATTATTAATCTGAAAGCTAATATACAGAGAGATGATTTTTTGACCCCTGTAGCAATACAAAATCAAGATGAAAACTAGCTGAATGCAAATGATTCGAAGCGAAAGATTTTCGAGAGAAAATTTATCGAGACTTTTATACTTAAGGGTGAACTAATCTTAATTATTCAAAAAGCAGCTGTATGGCTTTGGTGCTCAATCCACTATTTTATTATATGGTTTCATTCGCTTGGATATGTACCGATTACAAATATAGTTTTAAATGCACTAGTGAATATTCAAATATTTGTAGATAAGCAATAGAGTACACTGAAATATTTCAGCATTAGGGAATTGAATCCATTCCTGTGGTCTTACAAGTGAAGCTTCTTACCGTTGATAAATTTCAGAATGAAGAACACGAGATGTTCGAGGCGGCACCGACACAAATATCGGAGAGGATGGTCCAGCTACAGGAGGATGAGATGGAACAGATTGTGGTTGTGACTGAATAAACTGAGTTCCTGGAAAAACTGAGGCCATGACATTTTGAGCGATTGGCTGAGCTTGAGGAACTGATAGAAATGAAAATAAACCATGTGAAGTTACTTTCACATATTAAATAGGCTATAAAGTAAAAAATCACAAACAATTGTAATAATAATATACTACAGTCTGACAATTAAGACTGCATAGATGATGTTCATAGCTTTGTTACCCAAGAATGCTATATTAGAAACCATTTTTAACATAAAATCAACTATTTTGAACTACAAATATTCCCTACCATCTCACAACCTAAAGTTGATACGACTAACAATCACGATAATCTTTTCCAGTCATTAACTGGGGAAAAAACGAATAATATTTTACTGTTTTAGACTCATATGGATGTCATTTTATAAGCTGTGGAGTAAGAACTCCTAAGGATATTTTCTTATACCAAGATCATGAATCTTAAATTCGACGAGGAAAGTATCTTGTGAATCCTCTATTAATTTTAGAGGAATATTTCACTTTCAAACGAGAAAATAACTAGGCGCTCTGAAGTCAAATTACTTATTTATGCATTGCATTGGTGCCCAAAAAGTCAACTGACATTTCAAGCTTCTCTCATGAGATCACATTCAATGTTGAAATGGACAGACAAAATCAACAGATATGGATCAGTTCAAGTTGTTACAACTCACAACAGCATACAAACAACAAGTGGATAGAAAAAGACTGATATCTAAGTAGACATAGGTTTATGTAAAGAGAAAGAATATAAAAATGAAGGTTAGTTGAAATGGTCAAACTATAGAAAATATCAACGAAAGAATACATCTGCATCATGGTGACTGATTTTCAGTTATTTCACCAACGAATACCAAACCCTAATGCCTGCTGTCTCGATGACTTTAATCAGGCAGCTTATACCTCCCTACACGGCTCAGACTTACAGTCACAAATATAAGCGTAAAAGGTGGGCACTGTTGTAGAATTTAATTCATATTAGATTTGTTTACTTCATCGATAACATACAGTGATAGAGTATTTTTTACTTGATAACGTTTCGAGCATAAATTGTTGCTCATAATCATATCAAAGTAATTACACTACTTTCGATATCTGCTTTTTATAGTCCTGTCATCTCTTATTCTTTAAGTCATACATTAAGTCAGGCGATATATATATGAAGTAACTAATAGGCGCTTTGTCTACTACTAAAAAGAAACAATTATCAGTAATCCTCTATGTCTACAGAGATAGTAAATAATATTATTTAAATGTATGCATGTGAATTACTCACCACTAAAGAATAACATCTTTCATGTGACGGTTTATCAAACAACCTGGACGCTGACCTTGAGAAACAGACCGAAGTTCCTACTTATATCCTATAGGTGTTCGTGAAAGTTACGAATAAAAATGCATCCAAAACCAAAGTTCATTCAGATGAACAGATCAATGCCTTAGAGTACTGAGAACAGGTTAAAAATTCTAACGATTAAACTTATGCATCAAACTGAAGAACTTAAAACCAAGAAAAAGAAAATAAACACGAATTTGAATTACCTTGTTGAACAAATTGATAGTGGGGTTGGACTTGTGGTGTATAATCTTGAGTACAAGCCCCTAGATGTGGGCCAGCTGAAGGGACAATCTGTGGAGCACCAACAGCAGCGACAGCTAAACCGGGATGCACCTGAGGATGAGTCAGTGTTTGAGCTGTAGTTGTCACGAAACCACCCTGTGGTACATTTGGTAACCCTGTTGTAGACATAGAACCAGTTGAGCCCAACAATATCTGCGCCTGTTGAACGTTGGACATAGAAGGAACTGTATTCGTACCAACAGGGAGGACAGGCGGTACCGTAGCTGTTGATCCAATTACAGTACCCATTATAGTTGGTGTTGAACAGACACTAGATGCAACCAATAGTCGTTGTTGTTGTTGTGGAGGCTGATGTAGTTGTGGTTGATAGTAAGATTGCTGCGGTGCTCCCGAACCAACTGTTCCTGTTGGGATAATGCCAGGCTGCTGGTTAGCGAGCTGGTAAACAACCTGTGAGAGTCAGGTGCAAAAACAATGCACATAAGCATCTGGTGAACACATACTATAGGCAGTAGAGAGTCAAAGGCTACATTATATGCAACAAGCGTTGAAACGATTTATGTGACTGAAAACTATGTGAGATATCTATCAGCAAGCAGCAATGACACAAAAACATGTATACAGAAAACTCCAATTGTATTAAATTAGTCAACGAGCTGCTGTGCGCTAAATTCGATACCTCTTACAATAAGGTTGAAAAGATATATCGAACTTCATGAAAGGCGATCATAGGAAGAACTTTATACGACATTACCGTGGTTCGTGAATGGGTATATTGTTTTTGTGTATTGGTGTCTCAAACAATAAACTTCTCTGAAGGTGAACGCTATGGAATTATATCTAAGAGATTTAAGTCCTTGAAGGTTCTGCAGTATTAATTTTAAAAAGCAGAGATCAATAAATTGAAGGAAAACTAGATTGACAATGGTTAGTTAAATACAATAGAAGCCTTATCACTAAGCTTTTTTCAATAGTATAACGAGTGGGATATATTTGTTAACACTTCATATGGAAAGCCGATAAGCACAGTTGAGAAAGGTTATCATTAGTACGCCTTTTACTCACATCATCTACAGGATTATCATTCTACATTTAATTGTGGTTGCATATCACTGTGTACAGGTGACAATCTGGATAATATCACTCTGTATTTGAAACTTGGTGGCTGAATACATTGATCTAATTACACACCTATACTTTCATTTTCTAAAAGCATTTGTTTACAATGGGTATTTCTCATGATTGGAGAATTCATTCCCAACTTCTTGATTCGACATTCTTCGGAATCACAATATTCGTAGCCTATTGACAAGGTCTTAGAAATATGCTACAAATCAGATCGCTCAAAAAACAACAAAAATTAAAATATTCATGTACATTGAACAATTTGGAGATTCTTGTTTGTGTTGCATTCTCTGAGCTCAACACAACCAAGAGGTCGAACAATCCAATCCAATAAAACAATAGAGAATTACAAGTATATCAATAAATAGCAACAACCAAGACCATTCACCTGAGCTAAAATATTCTCCATTTCAAAAATTCTAATTTAAAATCCCAACCATATGTTAGATTATTTATTTTGAGGTTAATGGGGATTTTATTTTTAAGGTAGTATTCATCACGCATTGACATCATTACGGTAACTACTGAAAACCAGTGAGGACTGAACAGCTGCTTTGTCAAAGTATGAGACTACTCAGAAGCACGCACCCACGATCCCACTAGGGATCGAATTCAGAACCACCAGGTTTCACGGTGAACTCGCTAACCATTTAGTCACCGAGTTAGAGTTCAACGGTCCAGAGTTTCCTACAGGACTGCATAGTGCTCATCAGTGACTTGCTTTGAGACGGATATCCTGAAGTTCTAATGGGAGGTAGTGACCTGTAGAGTTAACCAATCGGAAGAGAAGTAAATGACAGCTGAAGACCTTGATGGATAGTCACGCTATATCGCGAATTGACAGAGGCAGGAAATTGCGGAACATTGAACTCTGACCCAGTAGCTGAGTGGGTTACGCGTTCACTGTGAAAGTCGAAGGTTTTAAGTTCCATTTTCGGAGGGGTTATGGGTGTGTGCTGCTGAGGAGCTCCATGCTAAGACGAAACAGTTGTCCAAGGCTCCCAGGTTTTCAGTAGAATGACTCTATTGTATTCTGCAAATCTGCTTGTTCTCGCTTTGCACAAAACTAACGAGTTGTTTATATGTACCAACATCTATTCTTCACTAAATTGGCATTTTAAAAGTTTATCTCCTAAATGCAAACACAATCTGAATGCAGCATTTGTTGCAACGAATCACTGTGTCATAGCTTTCTTTCCTGAATGGTTTTCCACTATCGTTGCAACAATCATCCAAGCTGGGTGGCTGTTATGTAAAAGAAACTCTTCTGCCCCAGTTAACCCCCCTCCCAAACACATACACCAAAATTCAGATGAAATGATTAAGTGAGAAATTAAGAGTTCATAAAAATACTTTAGGTATTGCTAACTCTTATATATAACCATTTAATGACCTGTTTTTCAGTTTGTAAAACTGATTGAACGGGTTTAAAAAATTGAGCATAACCAGGAAAATTCACATAGAAAACACTTTTAAAGAATCGGATAAAAAAATGCTCTAACCTGATGAGTTGGAGTGGCGACAGGACATGCAGAAGCGATAGCAGGCATTGTTGCATATGTTGTTTGAACAATACTGACAGGCTGACCAAGAGGAGCAGTAGCAGTTTGAGCTGGAACTGAACCATGTCCAGCAACGCTAGGCGTTGAAGAGGCGTGTACAATCTGGATTACTTGACCAGATGGAGTTTGATAGAACTGCATAGTGGCAGCTGGTCCAGTAACAGACATTCTAGATGAAGTAGGCGGATTCACACCTGCAGCAGCCTGTAAAGGCACTGCTCCTCCAATATTGACAGACGAAATAGATGCAGCTGTTAATTGTTGTTGAAGCTGAAGTTGTGCCTGTTCTTGTTCTCGAGCCCTCATTTGCATCTCCTCCTCAGCCATGTGTTGTCTGATCAAGTGAGCCTTTTGTTCATACATGTCACGTTGAGCAGTAGGCATCTGACGCCACTGTAAACAGAGACGACAAACTGGTTAGTATGGGGATAATAAGATTGAAACTATAGATGAATGAAACCGTACTGTAGTAAAAGAAAAATTGGGAAGAAAACATTATAGTGATACAAGTTGAATGACATTCAACCTTCATTTATCAAACAGTTAGCAAGTTAGTTTTCCTGCACTACTGTTTCAAATGTTAGCTGAACTGAGACCAAGAACAGGATGTCAAACAAGTTACTTCATGATCAATAACAGCGTATTGAATGGGAAATGAATATCATATTTCAGTAATGTAAATGGGAAATCAAAATGTGATTGCTATTAGGGTTGATGACAGATATACTTGATTGAAAGTGCTTTTCCATGAAATAACTTCAGGTAGCAAGCGTTTTTGAGGATAGGCATTCTTTTGTGTACATAAAAGAGCCTACATTCTCTTGTTCCATGATACTTAACTAGAGCAGAGGTTATATAATTTAGTAAAAAAGGAGTTTTTCAAAAACATTTTATTCGAAAAGGATTTCTTGAAGTGCATTTTCTAACTCACTCAAACTAGATCATACTACAAATAAAACAAAAAAATCGAAAAGAAACTTACTAAAAGTCCCACTTCACGCGAAATTTCACCAAATGGTGCATCAGGACGTTCTTGCAGTAATTTCTTTCTGATTTCACCAGCGTATAAAACATAGCCTGATGGCGGTTTGCGGATCTTTCGCTGAAAAAAATGAGCAAAGAGAACCATGTGATTGCAAACTACAATACAAAACATACGTCACCAGGAGTATACTATTTCAGTTCTCAGACAGGCTACAATTTCATACTCAGGTATTCCATTTGTAGAACAGGCACTTGATAATAACTCAAATTACTGATTGAAGAGTTAAAAGTTGACAGACAAAAACCAATCATCAAGATATCTTATCAATGATCACAAATTCATTACCACAGCATCAAAAACAGATTATTGCCAAGATACCATAAACTATACAGTTCAAAATTATTCAAATATTCATAACGTTAGACTGACATACTTTTTTACCAGTACGATCTATATTGTTTTCAATGAAAGCACGAGTTAATGCATCAAGTTGAGGCGACGACACACTGTTTTGAACTGAAGCATTATTACCAGGTGTTGTATTACCCAGTGAACGTGCAACTACTTGAGCCATAGTATTGCTTGCAACGGGGCTAGATCCAGTGTGTTCATTTATCAGTCCAGTGGATATACGTTCAGTTTGTTTCGTTGTATCTGTAGACAAACTGGGAATTGATATGATTGGAGAAGTCACCATAGCGGTAGTAGTTCCAGCCGCTGCAGCAAGCGCACAGGTAAGCGCTAGTGAAATAGGACGGTTAAGTTGTTCATTTTGAAGTGGTTCAGTTGAAGCTTGAGTCAAAAGAGGTGAAGCATCCTAAAGAATAAAAATCATACTCCATGAAAAGATACAAATACAGTCGATCTATAACTGAAAAGCGATTTTTTTTGAAGTCTGGGGTTGAAGTTTGACAAATTAAAAACATGATGAGTTGACGAACTGTGAGGTGAAACCAGTAACAGATAAAACAATGCGTAGTTAGTCAGAGGGTGTAACATTTACGTACATGAAAACTTTGTCGTAATTCCAGTAGATATATCGTGCATCTGAGTAGTTATAGGGAAGCAACACTTCATTCAAAAGGTTGAAAATTTGCTCAAAACCAAAAATGTATACTATCAAGGCTTTAAACAAACTTGTCAATGCAAATAGCAAAAGGTAAATGAAGTCGAATGGGACTATTGTTCCTCAGCTTTAAGCCAGATTAAAACTATACAAACGAAACATTCGTCCGTAACATATAGCCTCACCTACAAGGATCTCAGCCTGTAACCTATTCAGAGAACTTTCAAAAATAACTGAAACATCTTGTGGAGGCGCATGAACACTCCATCAAGTCTCCTACAGAATGTATGCAAAAGATCAAGTTCATACAAACAATAACCATGAATTAATAATATCCTTCGATGATAAACCACTATACACATCAGCTGAACCTAAACTTATCAAATAAACTATACCCCTGCTCCCCGCTGACAATATAAAATTTACGAAACACAAGAAACTTCAGTATTCAATTCTGATTGAACTCACTACTTTTTATTTAACGATACACTTCCAGTTTAATGGTAAAATTAACAAACAGATGAGAAGAACTCCAACAATCAGATTCACTGCAAAAGCAGTAATGCAGAGACTAGAAGCCATAGTTTTACCAGTGATCCAACGAAGTATGTGGATCCAATGTGTCAATAATACCTTGTTTACCATTAGAACATCACTCACAATAGAAGAGTCGAACAACAAATTACGATTCCTAGACGCGTCACTCAGAAGAATCAACACAGGAAAACGAGAAACCCAAGTGTACTTGAAAGTAACATACATTGATCAAATCCTCAGCCGTGTTCACAACAGTTCAACAATGCATTGTAAAGCAATGCAATGTAAAGCCTTTTTTCACGAAAACAAAAACACAACAGTACATTCACTTCACAGATAAATGGAAATTACTTGGTGACTGTTTTAAAGGAAAATACCATTATACATGCAACTTTATCAAACATCAGACCAAATCCTCACTAACTACAACGCTACTCATGGAAATCAACATAAGGTTAGCCCTACTATGAATAAAAACAAATCACAGATGACAACAAAACTATGGAGATCGTTTGGAATTGATGTGGTTTGTAAGTCTACGAATTCTCCACGCCAAACCAAATATCATTTACAAAATCAAATGTAACAATTGTGATGAACAATACGTTGAACAAAGTGGTTATCCTCTCTGTCTTCGTCTATGTGAACGTCAGTCAGCGCAACATTTCATACCTTACATCAATGGCACGTGGACATTTTGAAAACGTGGGGTTTTAGACGGAGGAAACACAAAAAACAACAGAGAATTCCTAGAAACGTGGCACTCAGGTAATTCGGCAATCGACAGGTGTATAGAGGCAGCCTTAAATTATTAACCAATAAGAAAAGTGACAAACAATTACAAGGTCAGAGGCCAAGCGAAGAGAACTAACAGGAAATTCTGCACAATCAATAACAGAGGAAACTAACAGGTTACTAAATCACTCGCGGAGAAATCCTGATAACTCAATGTTGAAGTTAATGGTGATGCCATTGTCTAGAAGAACAACGAAAACTTCACAATTAAGCCATTCAGCTCAGAGAATGCAACAACACCAAGAATAAAACTATGAATTGTCACTATATAGTCAGTGTAACAAAAATAAAAGATAGAGGTTGCAATTAGCTGACAAGTCTCCATCACACCTAATTCAATTGGTTATGCAAGGAAACTAACAAACAGTAATGCGGGAATAAAACTACTATTACTTACTTTTCTAGGGACAATCTGTTGAGGGAAGAAGTAAAATTCATCTTCATGTACCTCATCTGATGAAAACTGAAACTTCTACAAAAAAGGGCAGAATAGAGGTCATAACTTTAATTAGTTTTGCAACTGGTAAATGAGACATATTCGCTGTTCATGAAAGTGAAAATGAATCGAGTACTATCCTATCCGGAAGGTGGTCCAGATCCACTAGCATTCAAGTGTTTCTGTTTCTACTTTGACTAAAACATTATCAATTAATACGAACAAAAGCATTATCCGATTGACGATTGGGTTACTGAACGATATTATGCGAATGACACATGATCAAAAGTGAGCGAGTAAAACATCCATACAAGTAGCACATATGCTAACAGAATATTCGATTTATTTATGTGAATTAGTAAAACAATACAACATATTTGAAAAAGACGAACTCTACTACTTCAAGAGAGGCGCTAAGTTTTACGAAAACGATGGGGGGAGGGTTATAAGAATCCTTTGTGACATAGTACACCACCTTCGTACATTAGTGGACAAAATTAACTACGAGCTATATTTATGAGCGCAACATACAAAAATAAAAGTGGCTTTAGCGTAAGGATTGCCGGTCATTTCGCTAATACAGCGGAGACTGAATACCTAAGGGAATTTTGTCAAAACAGTCATTTGACACTTAGCACGCAGCGAAAGAGAATGTAGAGGAGTCTACTTCTCTTCTGAATTAGTAAATAATAAAACATATCAATTAAAGTTGATGACAATACAGATATTCTTATTGAATTACTCGACAGTCCACCTTTACTATACACTACATACGGTAAACATCATGTCCGTTGCGTTACCACATATCTACCTAGGCCTAAGCAAGCGGGTAGGAAGTGTGGCTCGTAGCCTACTACATAAAACCTACACTGGAATGAGTTGTAATAATTATCAATTAATGTAATCACCACAAATAACAATCAAGTTTGAAAATCACACATTTTCACTTACCTTTAGTCCTTTCTTAAGTTTACGTATAACTTTTTCACTTTCAAAGTACTTAGAGTCGCACATATAAATATCTTGTTCCGGGATTTCAGTGGGTCGAGCTAAAACAGAAGAATACATAATTCTCTACATGCATTGGCTGGCTATCAGACTATTAATCTTAAGTAATTTAGTCATATTGAATGAATGACTGTTGTCATGTTTCATATAATTTGATTAACTAGGGGGAAAAAAATGAAATTCGGAACTATTGAGGCGTTTTCAATGATAGAATTTCTTTTGCTTAGGACTGATAAAATAATCAAAATTTAATTCATAACCTTTATTCCAACTAATATTCAACCCAGGTTTTTACATGATACATTAATTTTTATTTTGGAATTGATATGCCTATTTCGTCGGGAGTAGCAGCACCAATAACACCACTGAACACTCAACAGGTACGTGTTACATTGCTAGTACAACCATAGCATATTTAGAGCGTAACAACTATTGATAACAATTGGCTACGTACATCGACTTTAATTTTAACCATTGTTGTGATCACGAACAGAAGTTTTGCTTGAGATGTCATCAAAACGTTAAAAAGATTGATCATGGTGTGTAATTAGTCATACGTTAATTCACAGTTTTAAAAAATATATGAATAGTGGTACAATCACATTATTTATAAGGAAAATGATTCCCTTCCATTTTTGAATTTTTTAAAGAGAATTACCTTGAGCATAATCGCACGGACGCATGACATAACACTTTCCAGTAGCTGAAGCCAGTGCATGTGTCGTATGATCAACACTTGTGAGAAATACTTCTTTAGGATAAAACAAACGTGTCGGTAGATGCTCGACAGATGATGAAGTGACGAACCACGGTCCAGTAAACAAAATAGCATTTTGACTAAAATTTATAACAAGAAACGAATAAATAAAGCATTCAATGTCCAGTAGAAATGTGTGCGAAAACGTCATAATGCAAAAATTAAATTTTGAGGGGGTTGTGGAGATTTGGAAATATTTCAAGTTGTTATTCATCGAAGACTGACATCAGTTGGAGGAACAAAGGAAACCTGGGAGCACTGGACAGCTGTTTCGTCCAACTAGCATGGGACTCCTCAGCAGTGCGCACCCACGACCCCACCAGCAGGGATCGAACCCGCGACCTTCAGGTTCCGCGACCAGCGCGTTACCATTGAGCCACTGGGTCAGAATCCAATGCTCCATATTTCCAACTTCTGTTAGCTCACGATATAGCGCAGACCGCCACCCAATGTCATCGTTGAGTATTTGTCCTCACGGCCATCAGGCATGACTCCACCGGTCACGACTTGTCATTGGAACTTCGGGAATACTTCTCGAAGCTAGTCACCAACGAGCACTAGTTCAATTAAATTTTGAGGGGGTTGTGGAGATTTGGAAATATTTCAAGTTGTTATTCATCGAAGACTGACATCAGTTGGAGGAACAAAGGAACCTGAAGGTCGCGGGTTCGATCCCTGCTGGTGGGGTCGTGGGTGCGCACTGCTGAGGAGTCCCATGCTAGTTGGACGAAACAGCTGTCCAGTGCTCCCAGGTTTCCTTTGTTCCTCCAACTGATGTCAGTCTTCGATGAATAACAACTTGTAAAAATTAAAGTTATATTTCTTAAGCACTGTTCTTTGGTGGCTAGATTTGAACCGAAAGTATGTATCAAGTTTGATAACTAGATTGAATTCTTGATTTGAAAAATCATGTAGTAAACTAGATATCTTATGCTCAAACTGCCTCATAGTAAAACCTTATTGAGACTAACTGTGGAAGTGGTAAGTGTTTCCTCTCGTGAAAAAGAACTTGTATTAGATTGAACTTCTACTTTGCTGTTAAAATTAGGAAACAATAAGCGGTTACACGTTTTGATTACAGATGTTTGCGTAGCATTGGTTACGTTTGATGGAATCATCATGTGAGCAATGTTGAGATCTGGAGAAGGGTAACTAGGCAAAACAGGTAAGTCGATTGATGCGGTTGTAAACCTTCATCGACTAAGGGGACTTGGACAGGTGCTGCACACGTTGAACCAAAGCTTATCTCGACGTGCCATGCTAGTCTGAGAAGTTGGGTTAGGTTGGAAGGTTCAGGGTGGCCAGACTAAGATGTAGCACCAGCCTATGAAGTCCCTGACTATTGCTCTGAGCAGTGCGGGGAGATGTAGACTATCTGGTTGGGATCTCCTGGACTATAGGAATCAGTGGTTGAGGAGCCTTGGTGAAATGACTGAAAATCGGTCACAATGGCGCGGATATATGCACTCCATAACATCCTCTAAAGCTTGAATGTTCGTACCAACCTTTATCAAACTGCTTATTCTCACACACAACTTTCTCCAACATGATATCACTCTTTTTCTATCCACCTGTTCTTTATGTACTGCTGTTAAGTGTGGCAACTTGAACTGATGCACTGTTGTGCGAGGTTCTGCGCTGATTTTGTACGTCTGTGTGAACACCGACATAACATGGAAAATGACTGACTTCCGAAAGTATCATCCAGTTGACGTCATATTTTTGTACCATTATTTTGGGTAAACGAATATACTAGAATGTCTAATAAACTTCACAGTGAATTGAGTGGCAGAAATTATGTGTAGGTGGTTCATAGCTTTGTTATTACTGACCCACCATTACTTTAAAATGACAATCTCCAAATATAAACTGAATGAGTATCAAGAGACTAGGTGCACAGATGACTACAAATAAAAGTTGTGACAGAAATAATATAGTTGTGTACGAAGTATCAAAATGTCAGTAGACAATCAAGTACAATGAAAAGTAAGCAAGAAGTTAAAAATTTCTCATCAGAAGGTTGTAGTTTCATCCTCTGAAAAATATACAGATACACATCTTGAGAGCTAAAAAATACACCTAAGAGATATTCTTGAACTGGTCTATGCGGATTGTAGCCTGCATGGAAGCCTGCCATGGAACAAGAACACTAATAATATATTAAGACGACGGTACATGAAGAAAAAACCAAAACTACCCAATGAAACGATGAATAGCTATACTTCATTCACTAAATGTAACAAACGAATGTCATCTTTATTACAGATTCTTAGTGCAACTATGTTAATAAAGTGAATGCGAGTTGCCTAACCTGCGTCTAGCATAGAAACAGTGTGGTGTACTCGTTCCACAAATGGTCATACTTTTATGTTTGTGTAGAAGAAAAACTCTGTGTTCATTCACCAAGTTAAATATTTCGGTACCTAGCTTGTAATTGAACCCGTGCAATGCAGATGAGATATCTATTGAATTGAGCAAGTTATCTATGTTAAAAACAAACCTCAACCTTGAATTTTGATAAGTAGTAGGTACATGTTGCAAAATTCTAAGTAGACGTAAATTATGTAAACCTACAGGTTTGCTTCGCTACCCACTTGCATATCTCTTAAACACATTGAGCGGAAATCTAACCATGTTTAGGATGCATTTCGTCAAGCGTATGACGACGGTTTAGAACTAGTCTGCGACTACTCCTAGCTTAAGGATAGAGATTGAAATGGTCGAATGAGTTGCATCAGTGCGAACAGGGTGGTTTCTGACGAAATCTCACCTCACATACAGAAGGTCCGTTTGACATTTGCTAACTCGCACCATCTGTGGCGCAGGCGAAACACCTGACTATCTATCAAACGATGAGCATACTGCGCTGCAGTCTGTCTTGCCCTGGCATACGACTGTGATACATGGCCATTAAAAGTAAAAGATATGAAGAGGTTACAGGTCTTCAATCATAGGTGTCTTTATAGCATTGTTGGAGTGTGATGGGATCACCCTGTGAGCAATATCGAGGTTAGGTTAAGGGTAGTAAATAGAATAGGCAAATCAGTTGAAAACGTTGTGAACCTTCAGAGACTGAGGTGGCTTGGACATGTGTTGTGCATGCCGACCTACGACTCACCTCGACATACAATATCAACCAAAGTATGACTGGATTAGAAGAAGGCTCAGAGTGGTCAGATCAGGACGTGGCATCAATCGATGAAGTCTGTGACTGTTCTCATCTGAGCTGTGTAGGGAGGTGTAGACTGCTTGGCTGAAGTATCCTAGATCATAGGAATCAATGGTTAGAGAGACTCGGCGACATGGCTGAAAATCGGTCACCATAGCGCAGATGTATTGACGTCGTCTTAAACTTAAATGTTTCGACTAGCTTTCATTTTCAGATTCTTTTTCTTTCTATGCACCTTTGTCTAATTTGGTATCAGTCTTTTACTATTCATTCGTTCTTTGCAAGCTACTGTCAAGTGTGATAACTTAAACCAATTCACTTCTGTACGAGGTTCTACGGTGTTTTTCTATGTATGTTTCTATATCTCCTGAAAACTTTAAGACCATTAAGAAAGGACTGGAATCTTTCCAGAGAACTATTTTGTTTCCCTGGTACTCGATTCATAAGACAGATATAAAGTTTTTGGATGGCACAACTTTCTATAAATACACTGTGCAAAGACTTTATTTAAAGAATACCGCTCGTTGGGACTAGCATAACCTAAATTTTGCATTTTACTGAAAATACCTATAGAGTGATTCGGCTTGCAGTCTTTAGTATGAAACCTAAAATGAAATGAGATGAATAGTTCAATAATCAACCCTGGGATGTAATACATGTATTCTAACTTACGCGCAAGATTTCCATAATTTATCAACACGCACAATACGACGTTCTGAGGACCCATCATTTGGTGGAACGTACAGAAAATCGCCTATACGAGAGAATGTACAAGAAAAGAATGAAGAATTTACGCTATGACATTAATGTGGCAACTCTCATTATAAAGCTGATGAAAGATAAGAAATGTTATACAGTTGTAGGCATTCATTATTTTGATATTTGTATTTCCAAATCAATGAAAAACAAAAGGTTTTTTTGACTGACGTTTAGCTATTTGTTGCTAATAGCTTTATGAAAGTTATGGTAAATCGTAATAATGAATATCACTTATCTAATGCTCAGATTTCGTCGAATCATCAAATCCCAAATTGGTTTAGTTATCAATAAATGTGGTCAGAGGAAGTTTGTAATAAGCCTCGGACCCAAGTTTCGTGCTTTTTCGTGCTCGTCAACAACGCGTATCCGCAATTTCCAAAGAACTGAAACTTTCTCAGAGGACCGAAACCGCATTACCAAGTTGTGTAGTGCAAAATGTTACCACCAAGTTACTGGGTTCGATCAGAAACACCGATTAACCACTGAATATGCAAGTCAATTTCATTTTCAGGTTTTTGTAAGGGAATCAAGAAATACGAAAATCAAGTCCAGGACTGTCTGCTGGCTGTTTCCAACCACAATAAATTAATCAAGATGCACTGTGATGGTAAGTCTCTTAGTCTAACCAGCATGTTGCAGAAATGATTGTTGGAATACAGGCATTGCGTGGAATCAGATAATATGAAAACTTCTCTCCAAAGATTGTGACAATGATGTACTAAAGAACAAGAAAAGCCTCATGATTTAACCATCAAGTTAACATACAGATTGTGACCACCCAAATCATTCCCCTGAACTATAAATATTCTCCATCATATCAATATGAAATTGATTATTTCCCAGGTAGATCCAGAAATGTTAACGAAAAGATAGAAATCTCTGTTGAATGGCATTTTTAGGTGAAACCGATAAAAGAGCATGCGATGAATTTATTTCAACACGAAAGATCTGATGCAACCTGGGGAGTGTTGGATTGAAGTCAAATGAAATGTAACTTAGCAGCCATGTGCAGGCTCGTGCATTAGAAAATGAGTCTCACCACATAGCTGGTCATACCGCGGTTGGAGACGAGGTTCGAACACTTGGCCTAGTGGTTAAAAATCGAAAGCTGAGATCAATAAGCTACAGCTCTAGTAATGCAGATTCAGTCAGGAAAAAGTTTTAACTTGATGCTTACTGTAAGAACCATTTCAAGTAAATTTATTAATTATTTCAATACAATGCTGAACTCATAGAAGAATCTTGAAACAACTATTGTTTCGGATGAAATCCTATCCCATTCACCTATTATTAGTACTACTACTACTACGCTTCCAGAGATCAGTAGAATTACCGAATTACATATCATCTCTATCGATTTATTAGAGATGCAATAAACCTTTTTAATCTCTAACATGGGAACGACTGTTTAGATAAAGATAATGGTAGTAGTAAGGATGAAGTAATAAGAGTTTTAATTTGGATTAAACAATCCGTTATGCACTAACTGTGAATCACAAAATACAAAACTCAGAGTAAAATTCATGCAACTTTGACTATCATCCTTGATATGCTTTAGAATAGATTTTTAGTTCAGTTGCTTTTGAAAGACCTCCTACAAAGTCTCTCATAATCTGTTGGCAACCTACATTACTAAACACTGCTCTTAATCAGTCAAAAGGACAGAACTAAAAGAAGCGTGCATAGTTTTATTTTGCAGCATCGTTAAGAAACTGTATACAAAGCGGTAATATATCTCTAACTGAATGGATGTAATCTCGGTCCGGTAGGAAGTGAAAAATGGATATAAATAGTCAAAAAGGAAGCTTATGCAAGTTATAAATATTTTTACAATGAACACCTGACACTCATCTCAGAAGACACAAAAATAATATAGTGTGTAAACTTTAGATACTCCAATTTGTCAGTATTTATGAGGAGAAGCGTTGGGTTTTCTAAACATGAAGTCGTTAAATCAAATTCAGACAAACATTGGATCACTCCTAGAGATCTACACACATTTGGTATATCTAAATATATAACTACCAGGTAATCATAGGAAGTATGTAAAAAAGCTGTCATCTGCTAAGTAGAACTAGGATGAAATAAAGAAAACAATTGAAGTTAATGTTTAACACTCACCTAGTTTCACTAAAAACCCATTCTCATGGACATACTGTTCATATACTATAGTTCCTTCTGTTTCGGAGAGATCTTCAATAACAATCGACTGTTATGAGTAAGGAAAAACAAAAACTATAGGAGAATTCAAAATGTACATGAAAATAGTGAACAAACGATTTACTTTAAACGTATTATTCTACTTATCACTATACAGAGTTCAGTTCATACAACCAATTATAACATATATATGTGGTGTAATCCAAACTCTTACATATCTTAACATTACAGTCAGAAACTCGAAACAACAAGGAAATACGTGTAGCTTCTAAAAGCTACCTATCTATAAGGATGAATGTGAACGCAAATGTTATTACTACAAACAGTCTCGTAAGACACAATTAATATTAATGACAATAATGTAACGACAGAAAATCTCTGTTCAAAATGTTAACAGTCCCTGAACTCATCATTAGCTATATCTATTGTACTTTATATGCCTCTGATTTAATCACTTAGCAATACCACTATTTGTTGATATACTTATAATCCCACGTTGTTATACTGGATCGAATTGTTCGACCTCTGTTGGCATATGGGCTCCTGCGCGGATGCCTTGATATTGCCTGTGTTTCAGTTATATATTAATGATAGATCGTGGCTAGTTGTGGAATCCAAAACGCGAGCTTCGTCCTATTCGGGTCATGGAGTTCACAACAAGAAATACGACAGGTCAACAACGATAGCAACAGTAGTTTGAAAGGAAAACAAGTTAAAATAGATTGGTTTTGACTTTACATAAATAGCACTAATACATACAGTTTACAAAAATGCAATTGTCATGCGAAAATATTTAGTATAGTAACGGAAAAAGTACAAAAACGATATTAATTCAATAATGACTAGATTATCATGCTACTTAGCAACCATGCATAGGATCAGGAACTAAATAGTCAGTTGTGCCTATTGAGTTAGGTTTATGATACCGACTGACTCCCTAAACTTCGATAGGTGGAGACGAGTTCGAACCAATGATACACCAACTGAAGGTCAGTTATTAGTACAGGAGTACAACTTGGGCACTGTGGTACACTGGGATTCTTAGACTGTTTATTAGCAGTGTCACATAGTGAACTGTCATACAGTAAGTGATATTGTTTCACTGTGTGACATTTTAAATAAACAGACTAAAATGAAGGTCAGTTTACTTGAGTCAACGGGCTATAGAAAACGACCACACTGCATATGATGCCTAAAGGAATAGAGTTCTACAGCATGTGAACATTTTCTGGAAGTATTCCGATGAAACAAAACAAGTGTGTAAATTAGATACTAAAATGTCGTCAATGATAAGACTTTACAACATCATACATCAAAGAAAGCATCATCCTGCACACAAAAAATGTCAGTTCGAGTTTGACCATTTCGATGTTCATCTTAGGCCATTTGTAGATAAAGGCAAACTTAGAAAACTAAGATAATTTGGTTGATTGTGGCTAGCAGAAGAATTCGGAACGCGCGTTTCGTCTTATTTGGGACTCATCAGCTGGATGTACGGACACCACAGTGAGTGTTGTTCCCACTGAAACCAACCAACCAAATTATAATTAACATTCAGGTAATATCCAGGCATCCGCATAGGAGCTCATACGCCAACAGAGGTCGAACAACTCGATCCAATGAAACAACGGAGAATAACAAGTATGTCCATAAGTTAGAAAACTACAATGAATTTATCTTATTTAATGAACCTTATTTTGGTTTCGTTTATGAAAATGAACCATGAGAGACGTGTATGAAAATTGCTTCTAATTGATTGTATGGTAAAAAGGGAATCTATGTGTTATCCGTTACATCTGCAAATAAACGATGCAAATGATTATTCCTATTAGGATGCAGTTTAACTCATGCGCCATACCTATTTCGGAAAATGATCAGGAACAACGATTATTCTTCTTTGCTTACGGAAACAGAGACACAGTACATAGTTCAGTGACTTCTGAAAACCCACAAGTAACTACTCCGCTATGTCATGTAAGTTTAGAGAGAGAAACTGTCATAACTTACAACTTCAGTTCGGCAAATTCATAAACCACAGAGTACAGATATGGGCAGTTGCCTATGTGTGACATTTATTCGATGTTATTGATTTAACTACTTATAAGTGATTTATATGAACTATGATCAAGATTTGATCGAATAGTACAGCAATTATTGGACGCTGAGTAAAAGGTCGATGTTAGATATAGATTACATTTGTGTAAGTTACAGCGTGTTTGAAATCAAATAATTCCAACGTTTCGCACGGAAGTTTGGTTCGAGCTTTTTCAGGGAAATAATTTGATCTCAAACACCCTGCGACTTGCACAAATACAATCTATGTCTAATGTTTACTCATAAGTAACTTGTATTTAATACGTACGCATCGGTTTCCTTTGACTGGGTGTCAGTTGTCTAGATATTTGCTGTTGTCTGATTAGTCAACCGCCAAGTTATGTTGGACTTGTCATTTTACCTAGTAGTTTACGTAGTTTACGTGTTTTCCTGCTACATAACCTCGAATGTGTTTACGTTCATATTAATTATCAATGACTATTAAATGAAGAAGCACTCATCACTACACGAAAACAAGACAGTCTTCTGTTTTAAAGTGACACTCGGGTGGGTATATATAGGTGAAACTAAAATAGTACTTTATACAGAAGCATATTGGTGGAGATTGTCACATTTCAAAAAAATTGCAATGGAACAGAAGATATACTAGCTTGTAATTGAGATTCTATAGATTTGCTTAAACGGGACTGATCAACGACTGACAACATATTGCTTTGTAATGCGGTTACAACGATATGGCTGTTAATTCAATTTCGGTAGTATTAAATATTGTCTATCAGAATAATATACAAGGTACTTTTCGCATTATTTGAGAGATCGCGATATCTTCCTGTTTTTCAAGTCAGTGGTCAGGTAAAGCCTTGAATCCACCGATGATTGCAGAGATAAGAATGAAAAATCTATATGTATAAAAGTCCAGCTTAGTATACCCGTCGACGAAAATGCAGGGCAATAAATGGAACATTTTTCTGATTTCACTCCCTTTTTTTACCAGTGGACACTAGCGATACAGAAAAATAAGCACTATGACCATCGAAACTAAACCACATTTACACGTCAGCAAAATAACGTCTCAATCATCCATGACACCCGTATTTTATTCCATGTGCAATACTAGTAGAAAAAGAAATCCAAAAAACGACGGAATACTCACCTGAAAAGTTCGAGGTAAAGGATAATTCATTTCAACGAATAAACTATTATCAACTTGTTCCAAAGCATTTCCCAAAGGTTCATTTGGAGGCAGACGTGTTGGTACAAAAGGAGTTGGCCTAGCCTCTAACTCAATGCTGGTCGGTAGAGGAACATTCCAATTCTAAAAGGATTCATCGAATATTACAGAATTAAATGACATACGTAAGTGCTTAATATTTCCCTTTATACTTTGAAAAATAGTAAAGCAGATAAAGAGAATTCTTTGTCCATTAGATTATATTTAACATAAAATATGAGCAGGTTAAGTCCTCAACTACAAATGAAGTGAATGCTCTCTACTTATTAGGTAAGAGTAAGATAAAATATCAGTATAGCAAAATATTTGGAAATTATAGCGTAGTAACCAATACTACAAAAAGTTTTGAACTTCTTTCATGCTATTGAGTGTTCTTTCATAAATGTCATTGTTATGTGACAAAAAATTCCCCGAACCACAACTGTCATCACAAGCGAGGTGATAAGTTTTAGATGCAAATCAAATCGAAGCCTTTATCCAGGTGACTTAACATGATTATACTCATCTTATGTTACACTAGGGTTTTATGTAAGGCAGAAAAGTTGCTTATAATGACAAACGATTAACTGTGAACGTCAATTGACAGGCTAGTAGTGTTAATTAACGAGGGTTGTCTGTGAGACAATTTTTTGAGCTGATAAAACTGATAACAAAGCTAACAAATTGAAATCGTATTCAAGTAACAACAACTTTCGTCAGGCAAGATATCTAAATAAATGGTGATAGACCATATGAAAACTTTTTCAGACATTTGAACTCAATTGTTGTCGACTCTTGAAGGTTTTAAAATGTGTACAAAATGGCCGATTTTCACCTAAAGCATAAATTCACTGTAAACACCACAAGTTCTATGTGAATTGTTACAACACGCAAAACTACCATGTTCAAGTGCGGTACAGTTGATCGATTCCTCCAGACATATTCATAAATCTTAGAAATAAAAACAACTTCAACAGAATCACTTACAATAACCAGATCTATTGCAAAAGCTGGACGGTACATAATAGAAGTTTTCATTTTTGCCTGCAATCCAGTATAGTGATGACAGATTCGCTGTCATCAATAGAGTCAACGCAACATGATCAACCCTCTCAAGTGCATCTAATTCACAAGAAAGGACTACGAACGAACATGTCAATATGCATCTTTAATTTGTATACTTCACTAAAATATTGACTACATTTATAAATTATACTGGATCATCAAACACTAAGGAACAATGCGTTACATGAGAAAAACTAGCTTCGACATTTAAGAAAAATCAACTTACTCGGATTTTGATAAACAGTTGAGACATAATGGAGAATTGTGACTCACAAATAAATATATCACGCTCCTCAAGATTCTAAATAGGAAAAAAAGCAGTAAATTTAACTGGTAACAGACTATAAAAGAATACAATATTCAACAAAGATATTCTGATCAATTTGGACTATTATATGCAGGCACCATAAATCAGCTTTAAAAGGTAATTACACGAAAATACGTTAGGGATATCATGTATGCATTTGAATAGTTTTCACCTCCAATAAACCCCTACTACCTCACTTGGAACCATTTTCCTTAACCACACCTTGCTCCTAGGTTAACAATATTCACAATCATTCGCGAGTCATAAATTGAGTACAAGCTAATAAATTATTCTCATAAAACGTGACCTTTTCTAGATAACGCAAACAGCGTATTATGCGTACATAATATATTTATCGGGTTATTAAACCACCGTAACAGTATCTTCGGGCTACATATGAATGTTAATGATTGGTGATCACTAGTTTCAGATTCTCGATAGTGAGTCTAGTAGTTGAGGCATATGTCACTGGTTCCATTTCTGTCTTGACTACGATTTTCGTTCAACTTCAGTTATCGTCTGCGTAATATCCAAATATTGGATTTTCACAGTGATATATATCCCATCGGTAAAAGTGCCTATATTTGACAAGTGATTCTAAATAACCGCATGTGTAGCAAAGATAGAGTCCATGATTCATTTAAAACACAGGATTCCAAGATTTCACAGTACAGATGATACAGAATGATGCTAATTAATTCACGTGAAAAAACCCTAAACACAATGAATAGCACTTACTTTCGGCCTGTAACGAATAAATTGTGAAATATGCATTACGAGACATCGCCCCACAATTTGATTTATTTGAACTGTTTCTCCAAGAGCGGTACGGAAAACTTCGGCAGCCAAAAGGCGTCTTCGACGTGAAGGATGGGCTTCAGCTGGCCGTAAATACATAGATAATCGAACATTTATTGTGCCTGGATGATCAATTTTCGATGATGAATTAGGATTTTCATGAGTATTCCCTGATTCTGTCTGATCTTCATTCCCAGAAGTCTGTTCAGTGTTTCTGGAAGACGAATGTTCCAGTCTACTAATACGCGTTATACGACCTATGTGGCACTGGGTGACATTTGGTCTCATTGGTTCCACATACACATAATCTCCAACATGATAAACTTGACCACGTGCTTCAAAATGCTTTATAAATAGATCATAAGAGATTACTTGTATAATTATCAACACGAATTCTGAGGAAAATAAAGAAAATTATATAGTGCGAATGAAATCTATGTGCAAAAATTAGCTACAGAAGACTCCTACAAACGAAACAAACTAAGGATAAAAGTGAAATTTAAATGAAATTGCGAAATGATACTCTAATGAATACTATTGCCTTTTACCAGTCTTATTCTAAAAATACTCCAGCATTTGGAGTCCAAATATTAACAGTAAGCAAAAAATGTTGAATACTAAGAACTTACTCTTAACTCACACTCGCCTTCTGAAAGTGGACCCAGATTTTCTTCTCCGTTTTCATCATCATAAGTTGGAAGTTTATGATTAGAATCTTCATCATTGATGTCACGCTCTAATACCGCTTCTGTATAGGACATAGCAGGACTGTATAAAACAACATGAGTAGGCAACACAGATCCAGATTCGGTATTTGGTGTGGATATCTGAGTTGTTGGTCTTCTTTGCTGTCGATGGCACAATTCGTCTCGAAGACGAACCCAACGGCGAGCTAGCTCTGCAGCATCCAAACGTTGCTGTTTAGTGGGGCATGGATTCTTCACTTCTGCAGGTTGGTCAGATCCTTCTCCTATTCGTGCTCTGACTAAAATTCCTAGCCAGTCTGCTTGAAGACTATCCAAACGACGATAAGTACCATCGGCTACTGCGCGATGCAGTGCAGCCAAACGAGCTGCTGTCACTGAAGTAAGTGTTGATTCTGTCCCATCACCAGCAATTAACGAATCTACTAACCCTCGACCGTCTTGATCGCATGCAGTCAACATTGCATTATGAAGATTAGTCAGTATACGACGGATGCCAGAAGGAACATCAGGAGCAATAGACGGAGGTATAGAGAGCGATTGCTGATAGGCTGACAGTAGCATAGATCGCTTGGCCAGGCACACTCTATGAAGCATTAGTGCATCCTACAAAAGAGAAAATTTTAAGAGATGGTTGCCCTTTTACAATGAAAACACCAAGATTAGGTTTATCATTGGAATATTTGTACTTACCGTATAAATTTGTGAATCCGGTTCGTTGAACCTGCAAGCGTTGTCGAACATCAAAAAAAGTTCACCGGCAAACTCCTCGAAATCATTATATTTCATCTGTACTAACTGCTTAGCCACTGTTTGTAATTCTATAGGTTTTTTAATAAATTCATAATATGTTGGGAGTTCACTTCGAGTTGGTAGACGCAAAAATGGATTCGATAAGACTCTTCCATTGATCTGATACTCACGAACAGCTTGAAAAAGCTCTAACATAATGCGCTGTAAAGCTGGCAGAGTTGGTTGTCCAGATTGTTGATAATGCACAACAGAGGATGTATTAACTGAAGTTCCAAGTGACTGCACATTTGGAACGTCGTACTGTTGTTGAGACATCCTTAGTTTTAAAAACATATGAAAATCTTTTGTAAAATTAAATGATTATTGTAAAATCATGATAATTTTCAAGAATCAAATTGATTAAAATATGCTTTCCCTAAATCTTACAGGTGGTCTTTTGCCAGAAAAGGTTTACTTGAAGATAAAAAATATTTTTAGTGATCCAAATAAAGTTACATCATGAGCTTTATGAAAAGCACAATCTGATATTAAATAATTATCAGTGACTAAAAATGTACGAAACCTCGCCTAGTTAACTAGTTCACCAGTTACTAGCCAGTCCTAAGCTCGGATAAAGAGCGAAGGTTGGGCATAGGGCTAGCAACCCTAATCCGTAAAACCAATCCAACCGCTAAACAAACTTCAAAGCACAAACGAAATATAAAAAATAAAAACAAAATAATTCCTCGCTGGAATCGGAGAGGCGAAATGACGCCAGTTGGTGTTAGCCTCCAGAAAGTCAACTGACCAATGTGTCTTCTCTTCTCCTGATGAAAGCGAAAGTAAACACAAGGACATGGGATTTCCGCACAATACTCGAACCTAACAAGGCTGCCCAGATTGCAAATTAGATGAGAAGATATAGCATAGAAGTGCTAGGAATCTACATATGGAATGGAAGTGGACTCTCCGAACTGCCAACTGGAGAATCAGTAATCTAATCCGATATTGTCACCCACACGACAACCACGAGCACACTCAGGAAGTGGATGCCATCATGTCCCCAACAGCATCGAAGGCTCTCCTCTTATGCAGTGGGAACCAGTCTCCTCCTGAAGGATCAGGATCATGACAGCAAGATTCAACTCAAAAGGAAGGAAAGTCACAATCATACGAAGCTACACTACGCACCTATATTCAATGCAGACGAAGAGAAGAAGGAGGAATCCTACAGACAACTGCAATCAGTACTGGACAAGACCCTACCCAGTCGCGACATCAAAATTCAAATGGGTGGGGTGATATGAATGTCGAACTCGGAGCGGACAACACAGGAAGAGAATTAACCATGGGTCGAGGAGCGCTCGGTGAAATGAACGACAATGTAGAACCGTTTGCAGATTTCTGTGCATTCAACGATTTAGTGATTGGAGGTACTGTGTTCCAGTACAAGGATATCCACAAAGCAACGTGGATTTCACCAGACACCAGGACACACTAAAAATCAGATCGACTTTATCTCAATCTCAAGAAAGTGGAGACAGTCTACTGGACACAAGATCAAGAAGAGGAGAAAATGTAGGTTCACACCACTCACAATCTAGTGCAAGGAACCCACCTTCAAAATCAATTTGAAAGCCTTCAAAAGAAGCTGGTGATGATAGACCAAAGTTCAAGTTCAACACTCGGAACAGAAACTGAAGGACGAAACTACAAAGGACATCTCCACATCAGTCATCAGGAAAAAACGGGAGACATTAAGCAACATCAGTGAAGAAACCTCAATGGAAGAACACTGAAACTCTTTGGAAAAGGTGTGGAAGGAAACCTGAATAAGTGTGTTAAGAAGAAAGAAGAAACAAGACAAGGAATGGATCTCGACAGACACATGGAAGCTGATAGAGCAGGGAGAGAAGGATGGTGAAGCAGAAGATGAACCAGTGCAGTGCAGTGCAGGAACGAACCAGAAAATGAGGAACTGAATACCACCCATAAAACACTACACTGGACAAAGAAGTGAAGAAGAGTGCTCGCAAATACAAAGGACACTTCTACGATACACTTGCAAGTGAAGCAGAACAAGCTGCTGGTAGGAGACCAACTGACAACACTATGTCGAATAACCAGGTTACTATCTGGAAGGGAAGAGATCAACACAGAGGAAACCAATGAAAGATAGTGAAGGAAACTTAGTTAACAATGAGGAGAAACAAAGAAAATAATGTGCTGACCACTTCAAAAAACTCTCGAATCGACCACCACTACCACCACCACCACCACTGCAACTCGTCCGGAAATACCACCAGCAGTCCAGCCACAGAATTACCAACGAACACAAGCCCTCCGATAAAAGCAGAAGTCCTGAACACCATAAAGTTGCTGAAATCCGGGAAAGCAGCAGGACCAGATGGAATTTCTTCAGAAGCACTGAAAACAGACACAGAGACAACAGCGGACATGCTTACACCACTATTGCACAAGGTCTGGAAGAAAGGAAAGATACCTGCCTATTGATTCGAAGAAGGACTATCTTACCAATATCCCGAAGATGGGAGACCTAAGTCTACAACAACTGGCGAGGAATCATGATGCTGTCCACACCAAGCAAAATATTATGCACCGTCTCCTGAGGAGACTAAGAAAATGCTCTCGATTCAAAATTATGACCGGAACAGACTGGCTGGCTTCAGGCAAACAGTTCATGTACGGTTCAAATTGCAACGTTACGCTATGCATCATCATAGAACAGAGCATAGAATGGCAGTCAACTCTCCACCTCAACTTCATCGACTTTGAAAAGGCCTTCGACAGCGTCGACTGAGAAGTAATTTGGTAGCTGCTTCAACACTACGGTTTAGTGACACAAACCCTTATCAACCTCATTCAGCAGCTATATAATGAGGCCACATGCCAAGCAATTCACTATGGAAAGCTGAGTGACACCCTTGAAGTGAAGACAGGAGACAGTAAGACAAGGCTGCTGCCTACTATCACCAACGATCTTTCTCATTGTGGTCGACTGGACCGGATCATGCAACATACAACTGTGAGGAGGAAGAAGATGGGCGTAAGCTGGCTGGACCGATGAAAAGACCCTAAAACATATGGGTTTCGCCGATGATGACTTATGCCTAATGTCGCACAAACTCGAAGATCTACAGGCAAAAACTGACTAGTCGACAGAAGAGACCAGGCAGCGAAGATGGGACTTCAAGTTAATGTAGAGAAGACAGAGGTGATGAACATACCCAACCAACAACAACAGCAACAACAAGCACCAATCACCATCAAGGAGGGGAATCTAAACGAAGTAGTCTCTTTCACCTGTCTAGCTAAGGCTGCATCGTTTCAACTACAGGTGGCAGCACAGATGAGGACGTCAAAGCCAGGATCGGAAAGACAGCACGACAGGCCTCCCTTCATTAACCTGAAATCAGTGTGCAGTTCTACTGCACTCCAATCAGCATAAAGCGTGAACAACAACACTAATCTCAGCCAAGTCAATGCTTCTATATGGTTCAGAAACGTTACATGTCACAAAAAGCATTTCCAACAAACTACAGACATACATCAACAGCTGCTGTCTACGAACACTCGATACTAACACTGAAAATCAGGTGGCCAGAATAATAAGAATAAGCAACAAGGAACTCGTTCCGGCTGGCTCGCTGGTTGGCAACGAACTAACCAAGAACTCATCGCCCTAACAAATATGCAGAAGAAGGTGGAGATGGATTGGGCATACACTGAGAAGACCATTTGGGGACATCACGTGTCATATCAGACCAGGCTGTCGAGTGGAACCCGAAGGGGAAGCGACGAGTTGGGCGTCCGAGGGTGACGTGGAGGAGATCATGTGAGGAAGAAATGAAAGCTTCTGGACAGTCTTGTAGTCAGGTTGAGCCAGACTGGCGACGTGCTATCGAAGCCTTATGTTCCACTAGGAACCCAACGGACAAATAACAAAAAAAATAGAGGTATACGAAAGAAAGTTGAATCTAAAGACAATTAGCACCATTTCTATTTTTCATACCTCTCTTGCTGTTGTTTACATGCGCTTTACATTAATTTCTTCGGTTATTGCCAAATAGAACCGAAAAATGCATGCTGAACCCTATTTTGCAAAAGGAAAGCTAGAATACAACATAATAACCTGAAGAATATTATGATACAGATACTAAGATCCTTAAGAACTGTAGCAAGTGAAACAGAAACTTACGATACAGTAAGTGAACTGCGTCCAATTATTTGTCGATTTATAGTGGAAGTGTATTGAGCAAAACTTCTGAGGCGTTTTTTAACAACTGAATCCAAAAGCTCTGCATCATTATAAACTAATGAACCTTCTTCATTATAATTTCGAGCATTGTTGAACATTAATTGAAGATCAACAACCATTTCTTCGTGTGAAGAGTACTAAATACAAATATATCAATAAAGAAAGAAACAAAACTTGTACAAACCTTAAAATACGTTGGATGCTGACAAACCAATGTATCAACTATACACAAAATATTCCTACTTTACTAGTAACCAAAAGAAAATCTAAACTCAACGTTCTGAATATCTTCTAAAAAAAACGGAATACTCGGGTACTTTAATAACACCACACAAAAATGTCACGTCTTAATATCTGTATTACACATCTGACAGATAAAAACCTTGTCTATCTACAAACTCAGAAGCTTTGTAAATCAAATCCATTTCGCTGAAGTTAGTCTGCTCTATGGTATATAAAATGATACAATTATCAGTGATCTGCCTGGATGTTATCTGGGAATTTCAGTGACAGCAAAAATAAGTTTCTGTTAAGGGGATTAGCCTATCCTTCAAGAATTATCAAAGTGCTTGAATAGACACATAGGCATAAGTATGAAACCTGTTATGGTTGCTCATCAGTTCAAGTTGTCACACTTTATATCACCACAGCCAAAAAAGTCATTTATTTGCCTTTCCTTAAATGTGTAGCTATCACAATGTGAACTTCTTTGCACTGTGTAACTTTTTCGCCTTTATATGACTAGCGTTAAGATTAGACTGCTTTTATGCTGAATCATACAGATATAATGGCGAAAAAGAACACGACAAGACCTATTACGGTCCTATATTCCATGGTGGTTTCGTGACATAACTAGAAAAAGAAAATACTTCCAAAAGTGTATTGATGATCAAGAGACTTATTACATATAGAGTACGGACTGGTATTCTATGGGATTCACTGACAAAATTATACTGAGGTATATCATCCATTCGCTCCCTCACTTAAAAATTCGTATGATGTGTACCTTCCAGGAGTATTTCAGTTGGTTGGTTGGAATACAATAAAGTAGTAGAATGATTTCCAGTGAAGACAGCCTTTCAATAATTGAGCAACATTCTATTCTTTCATGTTAATTAATTCATCAGACGTATCAAACAGAAAAACAGTATTATTTACTGGATACCATTTTTGATACGATTTACTGTGTTCTATTACAATATCTAATAACAATAAATAAATAAATAAATCTAATAATATATGTATTTGCGATAAACCAAATAAAATGGAATTACAATATACCAAAGTGCCTAAGGTTTACCCTCATATTGACATCCTATTCCACTTTACATTCTACGCTTACTTTGTAGATATCCTTCTCTAGTGAAAATTTTTTTTAAATCACGTTATTTAATTGACAATTAGTGAGCAATTGACAAGATATTTATCATGAAGGTGTAAAAAACACAAAAATATAAAGTTTTTTTTAAAAAAAGCTTACCTTCCCTTCATCCATTTTATGCTTGATCATTGTTAAATCAATAGGGTTAGAAATCACTTGATAATAATCTGGATACTCCTCCTTTGATGGTAGGCTAACAAATGTATCCCGAGGGAAGTGTCCATCATCCTACGAGAAAAACAATGAGCAGTGAAGATTAAACTAAACACAGAGAACAATTATACTCATATGTATTATTTAACTCCCATGATTACATAGAAATAAAAGTATAATAATAAACAAGACTGTACAAAAAATGAGACTTACAGCACGAAAATAATAAACAGCTTTGTACAGATTCTGTAGTCGTTTTATAGAAGCCTCTTCTGGTGTGAAAATTCGACGTCCAGGACGTCTAAGTGGAGTTTGATCATACTGTAGGAAATGTGTGCCTTCTGAGACTGAAGTTGATGAAGCATTAGCGCCTGGACTATATGGTGCTGTTTCTGGGTTATCTGGTTTTATGCTCAACTTCCAAATCAAAAAGTAAAGTGATAAAGAAAGTTAGTTTCTTTCAAAAGTGAATATGGAACTAAAATTTTACTTGTGTACTAAAGTTTTGGTTGCCAGAAAACCTTATTAGATGGTTCGCTTCATATATGAAGCTGTGATTCATCAGTTAATAGATTCCGACTTCCCTTCACCTACTGAGTTGTGGTCAGTTAGGTATTACTAGCAACCAGAGCACAATACGTGTAGCTTACAATCTAGGGCACGAAATTACATATAGTTGCTAAGACAATTTCATTTGATATGGAGGAAGTCAAATCTAGTTAGAGTTTATGACATAAAATGCTGTGTATAAATTCCCTACTTTCGGTGAACTACTGGAGTGTATTTTACCCGTCACATGGACAAAACTTCAATAAAACACAAAATTACTTTCTGTTTTCAACCGTGGAATAATTCTAAATGGATACATTAGCTAAGAGAACTTAAACATTATTTTATTAAGTCAAAGGTTAAATGCTGATTATATATATATATATATATATATATATATATATATATTCTGTTTATTAAAAAAGACACCAAGTAATGTGTACCGTATTATTAATTTATTCAGCTTAGTGACCAAAGCACAGTTGACCGATAAACTTCGATTAGTAATTCCGATGACCATCTGGAAGCCTATTGGTGGACATAATTTTACAGAGGTCAGATTAATTATTAAATGCAAATCTCAACATTTACTGGTGCAAATGTTAACTCCTCAGGGGTATTAAAAGGAGAACAAGTTTGCTACTATGAATGCCAACAAACTTGAACTACAGACGCACAACATCGAAAGAATCAACTTGAAATATGAAGTATTAGGAAGAAATACATACAGGTTCAATTCTGTGCTATGAAATAAATAGTTTTATTTTTATATTTTTATGAGTCCTACATCAAATCGCATAAAACAGTTTTTCATGAGGTACGGTGATTGAAAATCTCTATAAACAAGTGACAAGTAGTCTATTTCTATTTTTCTTTTCTATAATGAAAACCTTTTACCTAAGTTAACTCATAACTCATAAACAGTATGCTCAAAATTATTACTCAAAAAATTATTAAACAGTAGAACTGATGCTCATAAACAACATATAGCTTACTGCTATTTCTGAATTTCTTAGTTCTTCGCATTTTTTATGAGCAATCTGCTGTAAGAGAACAGAATCTTGATGAATTGTACTCTGTTCAACATTGTATTGTTGAGCATTATTGAATACCAAATCTAAGTCAATTAGCAGAGCATCCAGTGAAGCGTATTCATATCTCTGTTTTAAAAGAAAGAGTGAAAATTTGATTTCAAACATTTTATTTCTTTTTGAGAAAAATTAGCTGTCTGTAGAGTAAAGTTTAGAGAAGAAGATACCTTCTAATTAGCAGAAGTCAAAATACAAACTTAACAGATGAAAACATCCTATTATATATATGTATAAAATAAATCTTTACAGATATTTCTTTTGCTGAAACATTCAGTTTAAAATCCAAATAATAAAAGGAAAATAAAATAAACATTGGAATCTCAATGAATCAAGTTACACTACCATTAAAGCACATGATAAAAATTTACTTTATGCATGGTAATAAATTTTAAGTGGGTTTACCATGAACTCTTTCTTCTAAGCAACACGCAAAGTGATATGCTAAATAAGTTGCCGGCAAATCGATGATATTTTATTGTCTCCAATGATATCAATAAAATAAATACCTTGAAAATGTTTACAATATTCATCAGTTAATTAAGTTTGCCAATGAGAATATCATGTGATTTCTAGCTATACTACTCAGAAGTAATATATCAATAGAATATATATTCATCATAACTTTGCACCACTCTCATATATAATAAACGGATGTGAATGTTTATACCGATGACTGAGTGGTAGAAGAAGGCTGAACAAAACTCATGTAGAATCTAGTGGAGAGAATGATAAGCTGACAAAAAGGAAAAATAAAGATAACATAAAGAAAACTATACAGCTAATATTAGATTTCCGAGGCAGCATAGCTTGTGGTAGCCCGATGTGACAACTGAGCAGAATTATCAAAAAGGCATTCAATGCAGGTAAACTACATATCAGCATCTCGACTACAATTCTTGCACAATAAAATGAGGATTATCATTCTGATTATCTGAGATAGCCGTGGTTTGGCAAACTAGTATTTATACTGGGTGATGATTGAAGGTGAGATCAAAAAATTTTGACCGCGGCTGGATCCCGACCAGCGGACCACCGGGTTTCCAGCCTGATGCTCTACGAGGTAAAACATCGGGCCAGAAACCCGGTGGTCACTGGTTCGAATCCGATCGCGGTCCAAATTTTCCTTTCACCTTCAATCATCAACCAGTGTAAAATGTATAGAAGTCGTAACAAATTTACAGGGACACTATGGTATGGGAGATACAGAAAATCAGTCACTCTCTCTAAAATGGATCACTTCACAAGTTATTTATAAACTACACAGTCCATGGTGACATTTTTCGCGCTTGTACAATTTTTCCGCTCCTCAACCTTGATGTCAACAGGATTGCAGGTGAAAACAATTCACTCACGATTACATATGGTAATACCTACCATTAGTGTCATGAAACATACTACTGAGTGAAGATGAATATTCTAAAAATACATCGATTTAAAAACGTTAGCCAGATTAAACTAATCTAAACATACACATACCACATTGTGCGACGTATTTGATACCCATGCTACAACAGGTTTCGGTTAAAAATGAATAAACAGATAAAGTTATCGTGAAAATCCATGACCTTTACCGACGAAAAAAGATGGTTACCTTGATTTTCTTCTTTATTGTAGACAGGCATAATGGGTTGGTTATCTCTTCATAATAGTCTGGATAAAGCCTAACGAAGAGAAAACATCGAATAAGTGAATGTGGCCAGCCGTGATATTTTAATATAAAATAGGTAAAATAAACAAAACAGTCGATAAGTTCAGTAAATGAACTAACAAGATATGGCACGAACCTTCTAGAAGGAAGTCGGAAAAAAGGTGTTGATATCAGTTGACCCTCTGCATTGCTGGCGTCCAACACAACCTGTAAGAGTTTCTCTTGCAAACGTCGATGGGCCCGTGAAGCACAGGAAGGTTGGAAATTAATTCCACCCAAATCATTACCTCCAGTTGTACTATATTGAGAAGGAACACTTGCAGGAGAAAGAGGTTCTCTCGATGGGCTGCGCTTTATAGTCTCTTCAGGAAGAGGATTAAGGCGTGGCCGTCCACGTTTTCGTTTTACAGTAGTAGAAGCTATCGACGAACAACTCTGAGAAGTACCAGTTGCTCGAGTGTCTTCATCATCGCCAGATAGCTCAAAAGCTGCTTCAGTGGATTCATCCACATGACTTGAACTATCAGGAGGATTAGATGAGTCAGGCATTGAAGCAAACTCTTCTACAACTTCATGAGGCACGTAATTCAAGCGAGATGTACGCCTACAAAAGAGATAACGAAAGTTATATATATTGATAAAACCCGATTAAGAACTTCAGTTTTGAAAGCTATTCCCAAAAGTGATCTTCAAAGATAAGACAAAAGAATTTCTCCTAAAACGACCACAAATAGTTGAATTATAGTTTGAAGGGGATTGTCTAGAAAACCATAGTTCATATAGTCGGAGTAGAAAGCATTTTCTACTTAAACGGTAGTCAGCACAAATGTGCATTCACTTCTCACGACAGATAGTAACATTAGTGTTATGAGTATTAGGCGATGAGGATAATATTAAACTATCATTCTTTACCATGGTAATACTCACATATTATTTTCTACTAGTAGCTATGAGATTATTAATCCACATATATACATTTCGATGCAATCGTATAGACAATGCAATTTAATTAGAAATTGAATTCACATTATTGAGAAACAGATGAATCAAAGTGAGGGCTTGCACAGAAAAGCATCAGTTCAAACTACACGCATCACAACAGTACAACAAAGAGGAAGTTAACAAATGTAAAAATGATATTGAGATTTTAAAAATGAGATATATATTCAAGGAGAGACGGCAATTCAAAGGTTAGTAAAGTGTTTGAAATTCCGATGACTAAGGGTAAATACACATGCACTATTATAATCAGTTTTGAACCATTTCAACAAAGATGTCCCTACCCACGGATAACTAACATTTCTACAACTTCGATCTAGTACGCTACACTTCTTTATACAGTTCAGACCGATGGTCAGGGAATATAAAGGATCTAGTCATCTTTAGCTTCCTTCCAAACTAATCCCGCCTCGAATAACATTGCGTCCAGAGTCGAGCAAAGATTCAGATGACAGATAGAATCGATTACATTAAGATTCACTGACTAATTATACGTAAAAATTAAAACAAGACACTGGTTGATCAGTGTGTCTTGCACAAAACTGTCTGTCAAACTGATTTTGTGAACCCTATGGAACAGATCAATGTTCAACCAGGTGTGGCTACAATAGTATGGTCGAACAACATCCACACTTCTTTTAAATTTAAATTTCACGATAGTGTAACATATCCTACGATGATATAGTAAGGAAAAACTAGGCATGTAAAGCTAATCTTAAGGCCAAAAACTGACACAATAAAACCACTTATTTAGAAGATTCACGTTTCTAAGTATTATGACAGATGAAAATAAATAATAAAGATTACATTTAAGCAAAGGGTAACGGAATATTGCTAAAAATGATGCCGAATTTTTTACAATAGGTTGTTTTTACACTTACTTTCCTCGTTCTCGATTAGTTCGAACTGGTGGGTGTTCCGCCTCACTACGTTTACCTTTTAATATTCTGGATAGTGTTGCAGCATCCTAAAGAGAAGAAGTAACATTCATATAATCAAGGATTTGAGAGTATATTGCTATTATTTACTATGCTGAAGTTTCCACCAAACAAAGACATATCAACTATTCATTGTGATGATCAATTATTAGAAATATTAGCATTTGAGAGTTAGTAGACCTGATTTAGTGCATACTAAACGTGAAATAATCTATATGTATATAATTTCAACTTTCTGTAACCAACCTGATAGATAATTGATTTTGGTTCATTGAATGTCTTAGCGTTTCGTGCTAAAAGTGTAAAATCTTTTTCTAAATCATCCAGAGAATTATACTGTCCAGACATAATTCGTTTAGCAATCATCCTTAAGTCAATCGGCTCCTTGATAACAACATAATAAACTGGATAAAGCTGAAACAAAGAAATAGATTATATGGTGACAAATTAACAGCGGTAAGCAGAGGCTTCATACTTTAAGAATTTATATATTATTAAAAGGATAATGGGTTATAGACCTATTCTCAGTCAGGTATGTATTATTCTTTCCCACCACCTCTCTTAACGCTGTTAGTGCCCCTATGGATGAGGGATATGTTCTGTTGTGTCATTTGATGATGCCGTTCCTATACAGTGAGAGGAGATATATTCATGCATAAACTACGCTATGGCTTCGAACTGAATTGGTCGATTTACACTGTTCACTCAGGTAGTTCATTTCTCAACTAGTTTAGGTTGTGAAGACTTGAATAAGGAGTGATGCACGGTTTATTGTTCGGTTACTGCTATTACCCGGAGAACCTGTTATCTACCAATCGTGTCACTATCACTCAAATTTCCTAGGGGAACATAATGCAACTATTTATTCAAAAGAAAAGCAGGAATATAAGCTAAAATATAGTTTGCTATGAAAAAAACAACAGCTTGGTGATTCCGATGAGCTAATTCCAACCGCCAATTGGTTTCAAAAACTTCGAGAAGATATGATAATTTAACCTTAACCAAACTCTAGTGCGTCCACATTTAGAAGACAGGTATTCAACCTCTAACAAGTTGTACAGTAAGAATTATTCTGGAACTAATCACGAAATTTTTAAAGACTTTCTAACTAAAAACTGCAAACTTAAAAGCAAAAGAGACATATACAAAGAAGTAACTAACCTCCCTAGAAGGTAGATAAGTAAATGTAGGCGCTAATGGACGGCCATTGTCGCTCACGTATTTGACAATGGAAGCAAATAAAAGTTCAAAGGGATTGTCCAGTTGTGTTGAGCTAGGTTGACTAGAAGAAGTTAAATTGGTGGTGCTTGTCTCAGATGGTGCAATACGTGAATCATCCGATGCCGGAATTGATAAAGTTTCAGCCTTAAAGTTTGTAGAGATAAATAATAACGAGGAAAACAGTTTTTTTATATTCATAACGGATACGATATACAGACAAAATCCTAGAATGAAAGTCAAAAATGAACAAGCAACTCTGTGTAAGAAGTATCAGAAAAAGTAGGAAAAATCTAGTGCTAAGAGCGATCTCACTCACTATGTTGAATGGTGCAATACTGAAAAGGTTAAAAGTCAATTGAATAGAAATTCAATATCGACATCTATCATGCTTAAATTTTGCCAGACTAAATATAAACGAAAGCAGCACTGAGACGACAACTATTCTTATTATTCTTATCATGTTATGAAGTCAATGATATGCATGACTAGTACTGTAGATAAGGGTTAGAACATTTAAATTCTTATACACAGAATTGGTCATTAAAAAATTTCAAGCAGATGGTGAAATGAGAATAAAGTGCCTGGTTCATTTTACACCACTGTGTATATAGAAGTAAACTGATATATTTGTGAAAAATAAAAGCGAAAAACTATATTTCCATGCCCTCATTAAGAAATCACATTGTAAGGGACGAGAGGACTGAGATGCAGGAAGGAATGTTTATTATTGACACCTTGTACAGTATCCATCAAACGTTGTATACCTTCCACTAAGACAGTCATTTGCATAGTGTGCTTCATTTCCTCTTCTGCTTCTATCTTGATTTGCCCTCAGTACACCCGTAGTGTCTTTTGTGTTTCTCTGGGCAATATCTTTACCCATTGCTGGTAATTCCCTATGATTTTTGCCACCCTCACAACATATACTACGCTATATTTGTGCAAGTCTCAGTTTATCTCCCTTACAGAACGTAGATTTTTATATATGACAGCAATCAAGTTACTTAATCTGTCAACCACTGGAAACTAAAATTATGCTTATATCGATATGCTGGCCACTGCTAAACCAGTGAGAATTAACAGAATGCCCCAAAATAAAAGTGACTCCTAACGTGGGTCAATAAGTGAGTACCCATCCCTAGTCCTTTTCTTCAAAACCAACAATTAATCATTTTAAAAACGTCCTGTTTCTGCTATTTTGTTTGAATAATTCATTGTGTGAAAAGAATTGATGGAACGGTCATCGCAAAATCTGTCACCGATTAGTTTTCCTTTTCTTCCATTAAACTAAACAAAGAACAGCGCAGAGCATTACGTAGATCTATTTTTGGAACGATAATAGATTGGAAATTCTGATAACTCTGTGTTGGTTGTTTTTTTTTATGATCAGCTAGTAGTTTTGTCCGCTCAATATTCATATCAATAGGTAATCGTACACCAAACGCGTTTACTCAATCCTAGATGTTAGATCCTTGTTTTTAAGTCAAGGTGAAGGCAGTATACAATTGCTGGGTCTTCATACGCGTTTGCAGTAAATTACATTTTATGTAATTGTGATATCCACTAGAAATCACTATTCGTGTTTAGCGCCAAGATGCTTACCATTTATTTATTCGTAACACCCACAGGCGCCAAGAAGTCTGCCAGTACTGTAACAGTAAACAAACTATATGAAGACTCACGATTTCACTGCTATGAGTTGACATTTGGCAAGACACACAGAAAGCTGCACAGCCAATTTTAGTTATTCTAAATTTCATCAGTTGAGGGAAATGTATTATTCACTTAATTATCCTAAATGGTGACTCCAGCCAAATTATTTCAGCGTCTACGTACACGAGGAATTGGTGGAAATGGCACATTTTGCGAGTAGTTATAATTTTGGGCCCCAGTTTCTAAATATTTTCAATGAAATTTGAGTGATCAATCATGTCACTAGCTATTACAAATATGTTAAGTTGTGGCTTATTGGCTAGGGAGTTGACTTTCAACCAGTGGGTTGTGGGTTCGAGCACCACTGCCCTTACACAATAGATGTAGTTCACTGCCTACTGTACGAAAGTGCACAGTTTCTGAGTGGGTTTCAATTTTTTTCCTGTGTGAATATGTGGTAAAAATGCGACCCAAAAACAACATATATGAATCCATGAACTAAACAGTTGGCAATATCTAATGTGTGAAAGCTATAATATTGACTAGCTGCTAAAACATCGGTACATGGAGCAGGTTTGGATTCCATATTCCAGTAGTTGAAATTTTAGAGCCACAGTTCTATACCCAAGCCAGTTTATATGACAGACAGCTACTTCATACTACAACGCTAAGATAATGAAGGAAATCATCACAATCCAAATGAAAAAGCACTACTCAAGCATACAGGATGCAGCTTACAGCAACCACGTAAAGACCCAGTGGAACACAATTATTCCACTTTGTAGTTGATGCTTTGTCCTTTCTCACTCCGTAGAAAACTTTATTTTTTTTTTATCTTTTATTTTTTTTAATTTTATCATACAGGTTACACATAGGTTATTTATCCAGTTAATATTTTCTTATCCGAAGAAAAGTGTCAAGCATTCCGACTCATATCTCAGGAATACATCTGTTATAACCAATATTCCTGTACGGAATACAAATAAGCAGGCGGTGAGCTAATATTTCCTTTTCACCCTAGCCCAGTTCACTGTTTCTAGTCAACTGTAAAAAATATACGATAACTTTAAAAATAAACCAGCCTTTCGAATGAAAATAAAAATAATATACCACAATATGACTACAAAACTAACCTCTTCTTCGTCACGTTCCTCACTGGTGAAAGTACGTCTGCGTTTCGTACGCCTTTCGATGACTGTAAATAAAATTTTAAAAACCTCATGCACTAATGTGCTCCAAAGTAAAAAAGTAAATAAAACACTTCACTTGAAAGCGAAACAAGATCTCACAAACATGTTTAAAATTTTCTGAAAGTGGAAATCAACCACTAAGGTGCTAATAGCTTAACACAAGATAAAAATATATTCTTAAAACTTACCACTACTGCTGGTTGAACTTGCAGTTGAATCTGTACTCTTGTTAGTTATTGCCTGAAGTAGTTGACGCTCTCGATCGAAGACATCTTGTAATTCAACTGCTTTTGCAAACTCAGTTGTGGAGGCTGGATAAAAGGTCTTAGTATTGGCCACTATCAAATTGATATCTGTAGCCATTTGATCTACACTTTCATATTCGGATGCTTTGATTTTTGCTTGAATACGAGCCAAATCCATAGGCTCTCTCACCGCTTCATAGTAATCTGCATTCGATCTATGGCGAGTAAAAAGACAATACATGTTCAGAAATATCGACAGGGGGGGGCGTATTATCCAATGGCATTGGCATGACAAAAACAAGTTACTCAAGACTAATCAATTAGAGCAACGAAATTTTTGCGACAAATCTTCACTGCCCAGATTCGCTCTGATCATCTCGAGAAATTCAAACCAATAGTGGTAATCGACAAAAGGTTGATTATGAAGATATTTGGTTGAACGAAGATTAACTCATTTTTTAGGTATAATAAACTCCAAACCTCAATGACTCGACCAAATCGAACTGTACAGTAGATTATTAATTGATAAGAAAAAAGTCAAATTTAAAAACATCCTGAGTGAACTAACTGCCATGCAAAAACATATACCATAAACCAGAACTTCATTCTAAATGTGAACCTACCTTCTCGTTGGTAAACGCATAAACGTTTCAGACAGTGAGCCATCTTCCCCACGATATGCTCGAATTTTATCAAACAGCTCTTGACACAAATCCAACTAGAAGATCAAAAGCCAAAAATTGACATTTAAGCATATAAGGATTACAATTTTTATGTAGATTTTAGCTGCACTACGGCTGTTTAGTTGTGTAGTTTAACCAAAAAGTTCAAACCATCAATTCGAGTTTTGTGGTTTTAAGCTATACATGTAACCCCAAGAAGTAACCAGTGAAGTGAACCACTTTTCTTTGTACCACTGAAGATAAGCAAATTAGTTGGTTTCGATTTCTTGAACCTTGACGACTTCAGAAAGGGAACACTGTAAGCTCCTACACAAAAAAGAACAAGTTAGCACTTCTACATCGTTCAGAATCGTATTGAGCACGCTGACCAAAGTTAGCGAGGCAATTTGTTAAATTGCTGCTAACTTGCTACTAACTACCACACGACAGAATGGGCACAGAATGAGAGAAGTGTATAATCCCCCAAATAGCTGTTTACTTATTAAAAGTGAAGTTAAAGTATTTATGGACCCATAAAATAAGGATTTTATTTACTGAATTTTATTGACGTGTTTAGTATAGGGTTAGAATAATAAGGGATGGGTATTCGAAACTCGGAAATCCAGATCCAAAATAATAGTTTTAGATAAATTGGGCAATGTGTTGATAATCCAAGATAAAAATGTAAACTCATAAAAGCCTGATGAAAAATTGCTTGACAGATCCAATCCGTTGGCGTTAGTCGTAAAAGATGCAAGCAAGTAGAGAAACAAACAAGACAATTAATGTGCAAATCTATTCCGTCCAAAAAGTGCAAGTAACCGCTGATTTCCACGTACTGGTGGAAGAAAATTTCCCAATATTCAAAGGGGATCGACTACTAAGTAGAAAAATAATTATTATTTGTTGCTTGATCTTTATAAAGTTGATGTTGATTGAATCGCTCTTTCCAGTGATGAAAAGTAGATCGAATATCCTAATTCAGAAACGCCAAACAATAACCAAGTTTGAAAGTAACCTTACCAACAATGTATGTGATAGTATGGAAAAACTTGGGTACCGAGTATGATTCATCCTATAAGGTATATTTTACTTGTGTAACCCTGGTGTAGTATATTGGTACCAATAAAAAGATAAACAAATGTTTTGTATTATTCCTCAACGTTTCAATCTTGCCAAGAAGATCCTTTTCAAGAGTATGGACTTGACATAAAGTTTTCAGGTTAATTTTTGTACCAAAACTTGAGTATTAACCTGAAAACCTAACGTCAGACGCATACTCGTGAAAAGGATTTTCCTAGCAAGATCAAAAAGTTGAGAAATAATACAAAATATTTGTCTATCTTGTTATTTGTCCGAATATACTACGCCGGGATTACACAAGTAAAAATATATCTCATAAGACGAATGACCAAAAACTTTTAACACTAGAATGATTATATACTTCACTCTGTTCACAATGCTTCCATGTCATCTAGTTATTGCAATCTGCAAGATACAAAATTTATTTTCAAATTACAATAATCTTTAGAAGCTGAAAATGCTGAGTGGTTGTTTGGACAATTTCAGAACTTTCTTCAGTTTTGAACGTCTTTGTTCCTTTGTAATCTGACCGAGCTACCTCAACGAACAATAGAGCCCGGCTCAGTACATCCCAAAACAAAAACCAGGCCTAGATACACAAATATAATTTTGGTTGACTACACAAACTGACTTTGAATTGAAAGCTCAATCATCTTTTCGCTTCCTTTTCGGAGACCTTAGAATAATGGCAACAAATAAGTCTGTAGACCATCAACATTCTAAGAGTTTTCTGTCTATTCAGATCTGTTTGCTCGTCTCATGTATTAATACTTAGACGCATTTTCAATCCAGCCCCATAAAAATGAACAGAGATAAGATTACTATCTCTGAGACATGCAAAGTTTGGGAGTGTCACTTTTATTACCACCTGTAGAAAATCAAGTGGTTTTCTTGTCAAGCGTACAGCTTTGCTATCCTAGTGTTGGAAAAGAATGACCAGAGAATTTCGGGATTAGGAACGACTTCAGCCAGACAAGCACAATCCATTACATAGCAGATTTAAACTTCACTTAAATAGTGACCGGTCCCTCATTTTATATCCAAGATCGCCTTTGATAGAGGGAGTACATCAGGAGGATTGCAGAACTTTAATTTATGAACGTGCCGCCGGATAAAGAACTCCAGTTATGGTTTTATGCTCCACCACTTTCATTATCAAACTTCAAAGCTACAACGTCGATGACGACCACGCAGAACCTAAATGTGTAGCAAGATTACCAACCCATCCCCTTCAATGACTTCCTGAAACCGTTTGCAATCTGTAGTGTTTATTCGACAAGTGTCTGACACTAAACACGCCTTCTGATGCGAACCGCTGTTTGCCCGATACGCAGCAATGCACCTATAGAATATACTTTTATCAGGTTAACAGTCAATCGGTAAACAATGCTACATAAGAGCTAAGTGAAGTCCACTTGAACATAGGAAGTTGATTTAACATTATCCAAGTTCGGTTCTCAATTGCTGACGGTCAGTTACTTTCCAACTACTTTGGTGCGAACATCGAAAGTTCTACCAAAAACCATCCTCTATAAACAAGAAATAAACAAGTCTTGAATACGGAACTGTATGTGACTGATAGCGCTCCACAACTTGGCGATGGGTGATAATAAGCAAATAAACGTGCGTTTAAAACTTATACTCATTCTTACTTGAGAAGCATTGACCAAACGACGTCGCTTTCGAGTAGTTAAACTGCTAGATTGAGATTCATCACCGGAAAACCCAGTTATTGAGTCGGCAGGAGATTCCGGATTGTTGCGCTTCGGCATCTGTTGAGATATCTGTTAAAAAAAGCAATCAACAGACAATCTTACATCACAAATGTAGACTCAAAAGATATGCACGTTTTTTGAGATGGTTAATTGTGGTAGGACAAAGAAATGATAAAAAAAATCCAGAATGCTCTGATAGTTCAATTCTTAAAGTGAGTGTGGTGAGTGGACACAGAAGCTTCAATGAGATAATTTCAGACTTATGATTCGACTGAACAATCACAAACGGTTCCATGAAATTAGCTGAGTCACAAACCTATCTGATCAGAGCAAGCAGTATAACACAACTACCAAAATATGGATAGACAAAAGATAATTCAGAATAATCACTCAGTTGTGGAAATTCGGATATTTCAGTTTGTTCAGAGTCACAACCTTGGCTAAAATAGGTTTAGGGTGGATAAAGGTTAGGGGCGACCAAACTAAAACGTAGCATTAGTGCATGATGTTGCGGAATGTCGGTTTCAGTCGTGTAAAGGAATTCAGAATTCCTAGTTAGCGTTTGTGTGACAAGAGACTTCAGGTGATATGGCTAAAAATCTCTCTCAGGGGTGTAGACACATCTGCACATGATCTCTGAGGTAATTGCTATATTGTGTCGTAGTTGTCTGACTTCTCTCACTCATTACACGACTGTTAACTACATTTGTCTACATCATGCTGCCATGTATTTTGTATTAAAACGAAGTGTGGCAATGTGGATCATCACGCAATAGTGCCAGTTCTCACACTGATATTCACTGGGTCGAGCGCCGAAATCAATGAACCACAGCTTCACAGTCTAACAATGCCACTCATATCAGTAATTAACTACAACTCAAACATTATCTGCGCAACCAGTGATGTACATCGTATACCACCCACTACCAACCCAGATATGGAACTATATCACCTCAACCACAACCACTCTGGTAAACTATCAGATTTACTTCGCGGATATATACTATTTCATCCCGACTTATCCTAAAACACCTGAGGACAAAACTTAGCGGCCTTATGCTCGCTCGCACTTCTGGATTCAGAAAAGCACCTCCATAAGAAAACTTTAAAGCTTGTTATAAACAATAATCTTGGACAACAGAAATTTTTTCACACAAGGTCAACTAAACTTAGAACCCATGACCTTCGGTGCAGTCGTTGTGTAAGGAAGGGTCTACTATTCTCCAGTTGTTTATGGATTTCGGCAGACATCTTTTTTGCACCTTTCGCTGAGTAAAAATCTCGACTATTGACGAATCTACGCTGATAAATTGGCTAAAAAATGTTAAATTCAAGCTTCTTTCTCAAACAGAGAGCTGTATGCATGATGACGTGACTGGTTCATCTCAGCTGAGTTGATCTTAAGAGGTGAAACGTTACCCAGGCACTCTGTTCGAATAACGAAGTGATTTGTTTTGAAAACGTGATACTGATCTTCAGAAGTGAAAAGCAAGGTTTTTATTAGAGTCTGTAGAGAAGGATTCTACTAACTAAAGCAAATCACATTCTTCCATAAAACAAACAATAGCTAGAAGAAGCTGGGTAAAGTACGAATACAAGACACTATGCATCTCTAGCAAGATCCTCATAAAGGTGTTCCACATAAGGTTACTGATGAAGCCAGACAGCTCCAGGTAAACATACAACCCATTTTAGCTCATCGTATTTTATTTAGTGGGAAATAAGGGTTAAACTTTGTGAATGGAAATAACTGCCATACTTTAGACGACGACATATCCCCATTAGTACCCTCCCAGTATGTAGAGGAATTTAACAATTTTTTCATTTCAGTGCACCGTCGCTTAAAAATAACTTGCAGGCTGAATACTTTGTTGTAGATGCTGATTTGGAATACCTTCTTTGAATCGAGTGTCGGGATTCAGTTGTTAAAAATCGAGTTAGAATATGATATCATGGTGGAAATACCATTGTTTCTACAGCTCGTTCACCTCTGACTTCATCGAATTCAGAACATGAACAATTAAAGAAACATTTAGAATTGGCAAACAGCGTACACTGATCATATGCAGAGTAATTTCTCACAATTTTACCAAAGGTTCCCCATGATGTTTTCGAAAAATCTCGGATTGGGAATAGGACTAGGTCAAGGTCACTGAGCCAATCGCTGAGAAGCCGCAGCAGCTTAGTATATACTTCACACTTATGAGGAGTTGAATAAGTTCTAACCTGCATCTTCAACTCCCAATTTGGTCGAGGAAATTATTGATTTCCATCAATACAATCGAGTTTGCAGCTATGCAAAACTCGTATGGAATCCCTTAGCATATAAAGGGGTTGGATCCAGTAGCAAACAATCAGGAGTCAAAACACTTGAGAGAGAAATGAGAGCAAACAAAGACTTGTCCGAGTTGAACAGACCCACCCTTTTTAATTTAGAAATCCGACAGATGTAACTACAATTGGTGCATTTTGCGTTAAGTCAGAGAATCATGTCCGAGATCTTCAATGGCACATCCTCATTTGAAGTTCATTCTTATGCAGTACTCTTTGATACCAAAATAATCCATGACTTATTTGAAGATACGGACCTAAAATACAGCTCACCTGTACCAAGTGACGATTGATGAACTAATGATCTCTTAAAATCACTAGGTGAATGTTTCACTTTCTAAGGGAGAATACTACAAATATTATGCGACATAACTGCACGTGTCATTTTATGCTCTACCCCAAAATGATGATCCATTGATTCTAGTTACCGGAGGATCCCGTTGCTTGTAGTAGTCTAAGTAGAATATACAGGCGGTTGAAAAAGTTACACTCTAAATAATGAAACACGAACTGCTATACAGAGGAATACGTTTTCATAGATATTCATGGGGGAAGAACACTGTACTTAGTCAACTTCACACCTATCGTGCATCAACTGCAAGCACAATATTTTGGGTACTGACCCGATAACTATCAAGGAATTAAAATGACCTGTTCCCTTTACTAAATATAAAACTCATCGCCGTTATCCATCTCAGACCCCAAAAGCAAACCACTTACGGACAATAAGCAAAGAAGCGCGTAACACTTGAATATAAATGGACCTCTGCAAAAGAAAGTCTTTGTTTCAATCCTCAATGTTCTGAATAATTAAGGAAAGAATGCAGGAAGCATTCACTCAGCTGCACCTATGTTAAAGAACAGTGAAGTTCAAACTCTGTGTTTTGAAAATACTGCAATAACATCTCCTTCTTTTCAATATCCTCAAACTTTACTTTTCAGTGATTTGGAAGATAGACAAGTGCTTTACTCTAATGCTTGTAACTGCAACTACTGTCGCTGTACAGTCGCATATTGTAGATGTCGAAATAATGATTTCCATTCATTCTTTTGAAGGGCAAGTCCAGCCGATGAGCAAATTGGAGGGGTATTCTTGACAAAACAGCAAGTCACGCTTACGCCAAGCAATCGTTTTCAAAGCATGAATGCTTTTCCGGGACTATGAACAGACAGCAACACTATAATCCACCTACCTTTAGGAAGCCGTCGGATTCAAGGGTGTGTGAAGCATCTGAGCGAGGCTGTCTCATTCAGCTCCTGATAGTTTCATGGAATGTTTCCTTCGATATCTCGAAGATTGATTCAGGGTGGTTGATAGGTGAGACGGTAATTAAACCTGCTACCATCGTTCTCCGCTGTCAACTTGACATCAAAGGCAGACATGCAGTATACGTGGACTGACTGGTGTACCAAGGTGTAAATGTGTGTGGTACATACAAGTCTGAGGAAGCATTTATTACCGGTAATCGCTCACCACTTCCTTTAGTCGAATATTTGTGTCCGTTCTTTACCCGTTGGTTCGCTTCCTGAAGCCATAGTCGCTGCATATGCCCTCGATAAAGGAATGCCCTTAACTGTGTCTTGTGGACTGCAAGAATGTTCTCCTAAATCGCAGTGTAGTACATAGATTTCTCGTATCACTTTGATATAATCTTCTGATGCTGTCTGCAACAAACGTTAGCCATCAGTAGTTTGAATCAGCAAGATGGAGCGTCGGTCTCCTAAGGGTTCTCCCTGTGAAGGAAGACCGTTTACTCTCCGAAAAACCTTACTCCCTACAGGCTACAAACATTGCGGCTGCTGAAAAGATATAATAAAATGCCTAGGCTTGGTGATACCATCCTATTGATCTGTCTGATATGCCCATCGGCCTAATAGTGCGCAGGCATATTTCCCGTCAGATATATTTCTCTCAATCAGTGTGATGATGCCCATAAACTGGCTTCTCTCATGTTAGATTACTAATGTGCGAGTAAAAACTTATTATCATTATTATTATCGTTTAGGACGCTTAACACCCTTTAGTGCAGATTTTCCGAAAAACCCATTCATAAACTATTTCTGTATCAACAGCCTTTCCTGTACATTATGCATGATCCTTTTCGCATATTTATATTTTCCCTCATGTCAAAGCTGTTTGCTTTTTATCTTGACTCAATTTGAGGATATGGGATTCGGCCATTACCGACAACCAGTGGGACAACCTGTTTCACTGACCCAGCCATGTTTGGATACTTCCTCTTATAGATAAGGACCTGTAGCAACACATAGATAGAAGCCTAGGGTTCATTTTACCACTATGAAAAGGGTCACATTCAAGTGCAAAAATCCAACTCAAGTGACACCCACTTGCCACTACTCAGTCAACAATGTAGGAAGGTGCTGCAAGTCCATCGGGATGCTTTCTCCAGGACGGAAGTAGGTGTCGTCACAACCGCCCTCCAAATGCATCCAGAATGCGGTCATTGTTGGTTTGCCTATTCAGTCAATGAACAATCCGTTTAGTTATTAAACTGAAAACATCAGTCTGAATGAATATTAGGCCTCCAAGTGACACAAAATCTTCTAAAACTTGTTGTTTCAGGCTAGTATCCACATGCAATAATCTTCCATTTGCGTTTTCATCGACCTGCTTCACGAGAGTTTCATGGGTCCGTATGTTCATCTGTATCTGTATAAACAAGTTCTGGTGCCTGAAAGGCGGTTGCCGAACTTTTCTGCTTGACATACTGGCAGTCCAAAATAACCGAACTCTACTCTGCCCGCTTTTTGTCAGTTCTTATGGGTTGATGAAGACAACTATCAGGCCAATACCGGCAGCATATTTGGAAGTCCTGGTCATGCGCCCTAAAGAACAGCGTAAGTAACTGCCTAACGCCGTGTTTGCATTCTTTGAGCATGTAAGTAACTGGAAGGTTTTAGCTACAACTTTCCATGCTTGTCCCTTTCCTGAGCCATCTTTCTTGAGGCGAGCTGATATTTGTGCGCATTTAATGTTACAGCAATTGCCATTTCTTGGATTGACAAACTGTCAGTGCAGTATTACTGGGATGTTAGACTCTCTGGTGCAGGTGTTCGTCACCATTAAGCCTCCGTATTTCTCACACACACCTCTAACATGGTCCGCCCGCATAGACTCACAACTGTTGCGGTGGCATATGCTCCTTCAATAATCTGCGAAGAGTTCAGATATCACTATTAAGCAATAAGACGTCATTCAATGTGCTGAACGTCCCTTGGATCAAAAATGATCAAACAAGCTTGTCATATAAAACTAACCAGCCCTCCCCCTAACTTGAATCTGAATACTGTCTAACCTGTTACTTACTTCTGGCCACACACTAATCATGAGCTTCAGAATGTTTTCGGGAGAAACTGCATGGGTACCAAATAGTTTCACAGCTCACGCGGAACAAACTTTGCTTCTCAATTAGGAACCCTTCATCTACAACTATCTTGTAGGCCGTTTCTGATAACTGTCGAGCTTGGAGCTTGACAGCTTATCCGAAAACATGGGGACTCCGTCATGAATTTCACCACACCAATTTCTTCAGTGCATAAAATGGCTGTTGATCATTACGTAATGCGAAATTATCAACGAAGATGTAGCCCGTGTGCACTTGCACCTCGAGGGGTCGTTAGCGTCATCCGTCTCCAAACATTTTGCATAATAGTTCAGTAAAGCTGCCTTCATCTAGTTTAATTGCGTCACTAGCTTTACTAACGGTTGCATAGGAGTCTCATTTAAACTTCTCTAGCACTTAAAAAGAAGATCTACAGGCAAAAACTGACCAGTCGACAGAAGAGACCAGGCATAGAAGATGGGACTTCCTTCGGGTGAACGTAGAAAATACAGACGTGATGAAGATACCCAATCAACAACATGCACCGATCACCACCAACGAGAGATATCTAAACGAAGTAGTCTCTTTCACCTGTCTAGCCACGGCTGCATCGTTTCAACTACAGGTGGCAGCACAGATGAGGACGTCAAGGACGACAGGCCTCCCTTCACTAACCTGAAATCAGTGTGCAGTTCTACTGCACTCCAATCAGCATAAAGCGTGAACAACATCCGGATTCTCAACACTAATCTCAGTCAAGTCAATGCTTCGATATGGTTCAGAAACGTTACACGTCACAAAAAGCATTTCCAACAAACTACAGACATACATCAACAGCTGCTGTCTACTCTCACTCGATACTGGCACTGAAAATCAGATGGCCAGAATAATAAGAATAATCAACAAGGAACTCGTTCCGGCTGGCTCGCTGGTTGGCAACGAACCAACCAAGAACTCATCGCCCTAACAAATATGCAGAAGAAGGTGGAGATGGATTGGGCATACACTGAGAAGACCATTTGGGGACATCACGTGTCATATCAGACCAGGCTGTCGAGTGGAACCCGGAGGGGAAGCGACGAGTTGGGCGTCCGAGGGTGACGTGGAGGAGATCATGTGAGGAAGAAATGAAAGCTTCTGGACAGTCTTGTAGTCAGGTTGAGCCAGGCTGCAAAGAACGGAGTAAAATGGCAACGTGCTACTGAAACACTGTGCTCCATTGGGAACTCAAAGAACAAATGATAATAATTTTTAAGGAGGTGTACTCCCAAATTCTGCTCGTAGGTGACAAATTAAAATTGACCAGTGTACCATTTTTCACGACATTTTAAAGACGAAGTGCCCACACCAACAATACCTTGTGCTTATTGAGGGAAGAACCCTCATATTCTGGCCGAATTATCGCCCAGGAAAGTGGTAACTCGCTGGCGCCTTGTAAGTGAAATTAGGAAGGTTTTCTAGTGATAACCTAAGTGCACAGAGTTCAGACAAAATACATGTTTCGAAACCAATACGTAGTCACTAGCGGCCATTTTTTGGCCGACAGGTAATCTGTATGACAGTGCGAGCCTCTGAAACGAGGTTAGCGGCTGCTGAATCAGACAATGGTCTTCTGTTTGTTTCTTATTCATTTTTCCAAAGATCGGTGTTTTTCTGACCTCAGATGCTTCAAACGACTGCCAATGTTGATTGGTCCAGCTGAGACTCAAAAATCCCACGAGCGAATCTCTAACCTTTAGCGTTAGCCTTTTAGGTTAGACAGTGTACTCCTTCATAGTGACAACTCCATAAGGGTGCGTAAATTATAATGAAGGGACAAATATTTGCCTTTTCCTTCTTGAAACCTTTTCTCACTATTTCATCTTCAGGCACATATATTGTTGGAAGTTGGAGTAAGGTGGTTATTCTTGCTGGATGCTCACAACTACTCTGATGTGACCAAAGAATATAGGGTGGGCTGAAAGTGTCATTCACTTAACACTTATGTGGCGAAATGTGTCAGTACACCAGTCAAATTCATAACTACCTTATCTGCCAGACAGATGGCTAACAAAAGTAAAATCCTCCACAAAGTCGTCGCCGCAGTATAACTTAGGAATTCTGCACCTGTAAGGATACTCCTGAACGGAAGCTACTGCATACATGAGGAAATAGGATGCTGTATAACAGATTAAACGAAACTTTTGTGGGAAGTACGGTTGGCGCGACATTTTGCACGGCTTAAGGACCTCGAAACATTGTGATTAGTTCGTGGGGGCCTCAACCTGAAGTATTGGGCATCCAGTTGTTTCGTAGTTGGCATCCACACATGCAGCCCCCCAGCAGTCTTAATGTAACCTAAACATTTTCCGTGTGTATCCCAATGGATGAGTCATCTAACTAGTGTCTGCTAACAAAGACTTGGCGGCCATTAACTCACCCACTCAAAAATCTCGATGACTTACATCAGATGGCGCACATCTTTGCGACCGTTAGAAACGGATTAAACTTTTCTCCTCTTCAAAGTGTCTCTTACCTCGGTTTCGGACGTACCAAACACGTGTTACCAGTAAAAAGACGGTCCGACTTTCCCTTCGTCATGTTTTTAAAACCAACGAAATTTCATTTTCATCAGATTTTCACGATTTTCGTTCTTAATGAGTTAAATCATGGTCTCGTTGTCGAGAACACAATGAGAAACGCTATTCTGAATTTCAAAACACACAAGGAGTGATGGTTTAGGAAATGTCCCCATATGATGTCGACAGAAGTAGAGGACTTTAGCGGTAAAATAGCCACCAAATCAGTGGCCTAAATGTCGACGACGTTCAATATTGGTACTGATCGGTTTAGCTGAAGTCACATGGCCAAGCATCCAAGCCTTTTGGCAAGTAGTAGTGTTACGCCGTATTGCTCGTGTGCGATCGTCCGAGTATTTAGTCGGAATATATGGATACACTGGCATTTTTCGTCAAATGTATTGTTCCTATCTGGTTACCCTTCTGCGTTCTTCCTTTTTCTCGAACTCGTAGGACTGTACGAGTAAGAATAGTCATTGACAGATCACCGCACGTCTCGTTTCCACATGGGGAGACTTCGTAAAGGAGAATTCATACAGGACAATCTCTTAACCTTCATATTTATTCAATACGCAAGTGTACGAGAAATATTACAGTCGGATAATTGGGAAGCAGTCGTGTATTTTATCAAATATGCCAAAATACCACGTTGCTTTTGCCACCTGGGTGCAGGAGGGGATAGAAGCGACGAGTCAAAAGATGACAACACGTCCAGTGGCTTGGATGCCTGGCCACGTGTCTAAATCCTTACAACTTCGATTCGGCCTTGAAGTTCAGCCTAACTGTTGAACCTCTTAGAATCTGGTTTCAGGGAATTATTCTCCTATACAAGCGCTGTTTCACGGTCATCGATCCAAATATTTTGGTTATTCTAGTCTTTCACTGTCTTGTACATGCAACATCAGGCCTGTTTCTCAAATTTTGACGGACAATGAGTTCATGTTACGAATTTCCGAACACGGTAAGAGAGAAGCATATCACAGTGCCAGGGTACATCAGTTCTTGGGAGTTTCAGAAGTCACCGCATGTCATCAGTCTATCAAGATGTGTCGACCATATTTATAATTCCACACCGTGGCACACTACGCTTGATTAGACGGGGTATTCTTCGTTGTTCCTCACTGCTGAACATTCTAACTTCTGGTTCCGCAGACGCCAGCAGCTCTTCCAGCAGCTGGTGGTTGCTTATAGTCTTAACGAGCTCTGAAACATCGCTCAAAATTCAGTTTAATCTGAAGGGTGGGAGGGCGACCCGAGAACCTAGGTCTGTAATATATATATATATATATATATAATGCCTATCACTGAAGTAATCACTGTGGTCCTTGATGTTTGCTGCTTTGAGGCCTCCTTCATCGAGAAAGTTCCGGTTAGACAACCCCAGCTCTCCCGAGGAATTATAGAACCTGGAGATAAGCCGGCACAGATGTCGTGGATGACAGCGAAACAGTCGGGGGACATATTGGCGATGCCGTGTCAACTAGATATCGCAAGCTCCCGCGTCATAAGGGTGAAGCCAGATAAAGCGTGGGGCAACACAGGGGAGGGAAAAAAGTCTGCACAACGTTGCGAACACGGTGGCGCATGGGGTACCCGAGCCGGCGGATGGATCCATAAAATGTGATCCATGCCTCCGTGACCTCGAGTGGTGGAGATGGCTAGTGGCGAAAATGAGACCAAATGGAAACCAACTGGAAGGGGATCGCCACTTGAAAACGTTCTAACAGATGATGATCATTTAACGGACGATGTTCGTGTCCAGCCCACTCCTCTAGGAGAAGACGATCATGCTTTGGTCAGATTTTCCTCGATAACCAAGGAGGAACTACCGATAGTCGGGCCAGAAGCGTCTTGCTGTTACCGAAAGGCAGATTACCATCTCATGAACAATGAACTCCTTGGGACCCATTGGCCACAAGGATGGCACTCACTATCGCTAGATGAACTCTGGATGCATACTCAAGATATTGTCTCGAGCGATATTGAAAATTGCCCCGAAATTAACCAGACGACCACCTCTAAAATGGTCTTGGGTAACTCGTACAACCCAAAGACAAATGGGGAGGAAAAAAGAGAAATGGTATCGGTGGCTCACATCATGCAAAGAACCAGACTGTTTTAGCTACAAGGTAGTGCGCGGCTTATGTAAGATGGGTGCTCGTAGTGACAGGCACAAAAACAAGAATAACCCGACCAAACAGCTAAGTTACTACCCGAAAAGCCTATATCGGTCCATGTCAGCGAAAAGTGACGGACAGAAGTGTGGGCCCGATCACAAGGCCTATCGGAGCAGCCCTGAATAGCTGAGCAGTCGATCTGACGAGCAAACGAACACAGTGATGCGTCTGCTGCCAGTATACAGTAATGTAACGAAGTTCCGGGACAATGGTTAAAAGTTGACAGACGTAAAGATTTCGTCACACCAAGTTTTTGTGAAACTTTCATCATTCAGAATGGAGAAATCTCTGCACCGTGGCCACGTGATTACGGACGACACCAGAGTTTGGAGGGCAGTGTGTCTGGAAGAGGATGCCAGGGTACTTCAGAATGATCTGCCTCAGCGGGAATCCTAGTCAGTTACAAACGGTTAAAGCTCCAACATAAGGAAATGCAGGGTAATGTTTCCTCACATCGGAAGCGACGAAAACCAGCTAAACCCCCAACAAGTGCACAATCACCGGGGTATCTGCAAAGTGGGATCTAAGACTAAACCTCCCTGACACATCGGATACTGGTGCCATCTATGAGGAAGTGGCGACGAAGGCGAACGCCATCATGAACTTTCCAAGATGGCAGCTAGAGGCGCTAACCACAGACTTATTCCTCACGGTATTTTAAACCTACGTTACACCACACGTGGGTGTAGTGAACCTGACAGTCCTCGTTCTACTAAAGAAAGACGTGAATGCTCTTGAGGAGGTGCAGAGAAGGGTGATGAGGTCAGTTGTTGGACTGACGAACAAAGGATATGCGTAACGACTTAGAAAGCTGACCTCGACCACATTAAGCTACTAAAGGTAACGAGGTGACCTGATGACAGCCTACAGGACCATTCACCAAGCAGACCACCCGAATGGGCCAACACTATAGATCCCGAACCAACAGTCTCGCGGGAACCCCACTTCCATACCTCACAATAAGGAAGGGAAGAGAGTGGGATGTAGCTTCTTTCCACGCAGAGTGTGTGCCTTATGGAACGCTGTGCTGAAGGAAATGGCCACAACCACATCAGCCAGCGCCTCCAAGCGGCCACTGGATACGAAAGTGAGTGCAAACGGCTTACAACGAACACTCGCTGGTAGTAACTGAAATTACGCTCACCCCCTTTATTCCCCAACCCAAGTATTTGAACTAAGAAGCATCTCTTCACCATAGTACTACCAGTAACACCTATTTTTCCATGAGAACTTTTCACTCCTCTATTTCTCATTTCCTACTAGCCCTATTTCTAGCACAATTCAGTAGCACTTAATACTTACTTGCAGGTGCCGACGGAAACAGCAACTTCATAAGGCTGATTGATCATGCCAGCAGCTCCACTGCCTCTCACTCAAAGGAATCAGGCCACAACTGCAACAGAAACGACTTCCACGAGAACTAGAAGCGAGCGCGAAGGAATCAATTGGTTTGCACCGGCTCGAAAGACGATACTGGATATTGAGAATAAGTAATCACTACCCTAAGACCATAAGCAAGAAAGACGCAGGGACTACAGAAACACAGTAGAAGTGTAAGGAAATGAAAAGGGCCCAGCCTCAAGACCTGGAAGAGAGAGCCCAAAAAATCCAGATCACATACAGTCGCATTACTGACGTTGGATAGTAGGTGTTGCATGAGAACATAAGAAGTCTCCTGGTGCGAACTTGACAGACGCAGAGGCCAATCACTAATTATTCGTGCTTGTTATATACCCACAAATACAAGACCAAGAAAGAACACAATAGCGTAGCCGGACAGAATAGTATATTTGTGAGGTAGGGCCGAGATACCGATGCTTTCCAACTAGCTGGCTAGAGGGTCGATTACGAGCAGTGCGACATAACACGACAGCGTGCCAAATGGCGAGGGTGCTTGATCGGGTGCCTTCAGCTTAGCGAGTCCAGCTAAACTGTGGAGGTTAGCACCAGTGTTGACTCTTGTCAAACCTTAGGCTATTGATTCTGGAGAGGTGTGTGACACTACAATTTCATCAGGCAAGCAGATCTCCTTTTCGTATGATATGATGGACTCTTCACACTCCTTCAGGTTTCGTAATCTTTGGTTCCTCTCACGTTGATTGGACTTTGTAACCAGGTTTGCTGATACGAAATTCGTTCGTAAGCCAAATGTTGTCCAGGTGCGTCTATACAACGTAAGAACATACGTTAATATTTAGCAAAATTAGAAACCATCACCATTGCTTTCTTGGAGGTAATATCACACTGAACAATCAGGGTGATGAAAGTTAACGGTTCTCCTCCAGTGTAAAGGCATAATTGCGTCATGCGACTGGTGCTTTATGTGAACTTCAATACCCAATAGCTTTTGAGAGCTAGTGTAAGTCAATTCTTCGCGCTCGTTTCTGAGACTTGTGTAACGGTCTTGGCTCATGTTGGATTTCGGTAGTTTATGGATAATTACTTGTATGATTTCTTGTGTTAGCCCTAGTATTTTTGATACAATTATACAAGGTCATTTAGAAGACGGATATCAAGTTTTTCATTGTGGATGCGTATATCTAGGAGGTAGGTTGCTCGCTAGGTCTGTGAACTTGTACCTAATGGTGTCTGATATGCTTCACGTATGATGGACCACCTCCAATTATAGTGCACTATGCAAGTTAAAATAGGATTAGTATGCACGAAGCACAGAACTGGGGTATCTATATTTATAGCGTAACATCTGATTTATTCTTTTTGGTATGCGATCCTTTCTACATCCTGGAAATGTTAACAATCAATGGCCGGGAAAATTCTGTTAACCGACTGGAATTTTGTCATATTATTTTGCTGGGAATGCATCAAATCCCCTTCATTCTGAAGGTTTGGTGAGTCCGTATTCGTCAGATCTACCCTCTTACACACATCAGTTCGAGCACATTTTTCCAGATGTTTAAAAAATCGCGGGTATTCTCATTAAATACTGTTAAGTATTTTAAACTAAGTTTAGCACAGATTTTGATACTTTTGGACCTAATTTAACTTAGTATCAACACCAAAGCTGCCACATTTCCCCTACTACTGCGTTGAAATGGAAAGAACAACAGTTTAGCAGGAAGCATGTGCTTTTAAGGTTACAGCTGTTGGCGAATATAAAAATCAGTGTGTGATAAAGCAATTGGCAGATTAAAGTGGGTGGCTCAGTCGTCGACGAAATCTCTATAAGGTTACAAAAGGTTCGGTTAGCTCTTACCAACTTACGCCATCTGTAGGACTGCTGCGATATTTGACTTTCTATTATGGGTCAAGTGTACCGTGATGCAGTCCACTCTGTTCTACTGTAAAGCTGTGAAAGATAGTCGTTATAAGTAGAAGAGATGAGAAGGCTCCAGGTGTTTGACCACCGTTTCCCTCGCAGCATAGGTCGTGTTTCGTGGTCTCATCTCATGAGTAACTCAGAAGTCAGGTGTAGAATCTTAGGGATGAGAGGTAAATCAGTTGATGTTGTTATGAACCTTCATTGACTGACATGTTTGGGACATGTGTTACGTATGCCTAGCCACCGTCCGCCTCGTCACACAATGTTGGCCGAAGTAGGTTCAGGCTGGGAAAAGGCTGTGGGCGGCCAGACTAAAACATGGTATCAATGCACAAAATCCTTGACTGTTAGTTTGAACCATGTGGGGCGATGCAGACTAGGTGGTTGGGGTCTGCGGGATAAGAGAAACCATTTGTTGGAGACTATTGGTGATGTGGCTCGAAATCGATGTCAGTGGCGCAGGTGCATACACGCTTTATCTTTGTCTCAACCGTCATACCTAATCTCATCATTCCCTTCTCTCTTTTACTACATTCTACTTTTGGTAGGGTTTTTCTTTCTGTATCTCCAATCTCATTACCTTGCTACTTGGTGTGATGCTATGAGGTGTGGCAACCTGGGAGGTTACGCAGCAGTGCCTGGTCCTGTGTTGTTTTTGATGATGAAATAAGAATGATCAGTTAAATTTCTCCAAAAGTGTTTATACTTTAGGGAGCTCGTCATTAAGGCTCCTAATTTATACCTAGTGATCATTTTTGAAAGCTTTGAATTGAAATGTTAGAGACTCTGTCCAAGAAAATAATTTAGGTAAACAAAGTGTGAGGATTAGCTGAAACCTAACAGATCAGCGAATTGATAAACATTAGTTTCAGTTCAGTTTCAGTTATAAGGATAGTAGGCCAGTTGGCCTGTGTTAATCCTTGCAGAGGATATCTCTGTGAAGATCTAGTTTCTCCTTGAACGTGTTGACAGAAGGTCCTGATACTACTTGCTGAGGTAAGGAGTTCCAGTCGTTGACAACACGATGGGAGAAACTCAGATTCACGCTAAGTTGATTCGATCGCGGTTTTTGAATTTTCTTGTGATGCCCTCGGAGATAGTTCTAGCAAGGGAGAAAAATTAGGACATCAGTACCGAAGTCATTATTAAGAATACGAAATGCCAGTATGAGATCACCCCGTCTTCTGCGGTAAGACAGTGGGAATAATCCAGCGGATCTAGTCGTTCTTCACAGGACAGATTCGAAAGGCCTGCTACAAGCTTAGTACTTACCCTTTGAACACTCTCGAGTGCGTCAGCATCCTTTTTTAGGCATGGGCTGGCCTCCTGAATGCAGTATTCTAAGTGAGGTCTGACGTAGGTAGAGTATTCTAAACATGTCCTCATCAAAAAATTTGAAAGCTCTGCGGAGGGACCATAATATACGGAAGCCCTTTTCTGCAGCCGCATCGCAGCTTGCCGAGGTTTTCAAATCATGACTAATGATGACACCCAAGTCTTTTATTTCAAGGACTGGAAGTAGTGGTGTACCATCAACGGAATACCAAGCACCAACGTTTGGACCAACCTACTAGTTCATCTAAATCCGCCTGAAGTGCATACCTATCTGCATCACTGCGTATGGCTCTCCAAATCTTTACATCATCGGCAAATAACAGTACCGAAGAGTTGAGCATATTTGGCAATTCGTTGATATATTACAAGAAAAGTAGTGGACCTAGGATTGTTCCTTGAGGAACTCCACTCATCACAGGTTTCCACCCGGATAGTGTCCCATTTACCCTTACTCTTTGCCTTCTATCGTATAAAAAGTCCTTAATCCAAGCTTGCAGTGAAGTACCAAACCCGAAGGAGGAGAGCTTTCCTAGTAATTTCACATGCGACACTTTGTCGAATGCCTTACTGAAGTCTATAAACACGGCATCTATTGGCAGCTTGCAATCACGGGCTGCAACCCATTCCTCTCTTGCGATAAGGAGGTTAGTTAGACAGGAGTGCCCAGTACGAAAACCATGTTGCTGTGGTGCCAAAAGATTGCTTGATTCCACATGTTTAAGTACCCTGTCACGAATTATTTTTTCTAAAATCTTAACAACTATGCTAGTTAGACTCACAGGACGATAGTTAGACACCAAATGGCGACTACCGGTCTTAAAGACTGGGCTGATTATGGCATCTTTCCAGTCTCTAGGGAGGCGAGTCTGAGTTAGGGACATGTTGAAAAGATCCGTGACTGGCTCAGCAATGATGTCTGCTAGCGAGGATAGAAGTCTGGGATGCAACTCATCGGGACCTGGGGATTTTCCAGGTTTGAGGTTAATGAGCAACTGTAAGACTCTTTCCTTTGTTGTGAACACTGTATCTATTAGTGGAACAGTGCTGACACCACTATTTAGCACTTCATCGTCATGATCTACAGAGAAGACTTCACTAAAGTAATCAGAGAGACAGCTTTGGACAGATTAGATTCCGCCAGACTATCGGACTTCTCATCCGTCGCCAGGAGGAGATTCCGCCTTTTCTTTTAGTCCTCCTTCTGACGAATGCGAACAGTCTTTTAGGACAATTTTGGCAATCCCTCACAAGCTGCTTCTCGTAGGACATTCGAGACCGTGTAATCAAAGTCTTGCAGAGATTACGGACTTTACAGTACTCAGTCTTAAATGTTTCCAGTCTAGTTTCTAGAAACAAGTCCCATAAACGTTTCCTCCACCTTAACAGTCTCTTAATGTCTTTATTAAACCACGGAGGGCGATGTGAGGATCGTCGTGGAGTCGAACATGGAATAAATGGCGTCGTTACCTCTTCAAATAGAGTTCTAAACCTATTCCATGCATTCTCAATTGATGAGTCCTTGTCGACAGTCCAATCCTTACTGATTGCGCAATCCCTTATACTTGAAATGTCCGCACGCCATACATTAGGTCTAGGGGAGGCAGTGTCATAATCAAACTCATTAGTCCGAAAACCAAAAGTTAGTACTACATGGTCGCTGTTAGCTAATGGAGGGAAGTATCGTAGATCCAGAATGTCTTCACATTGATGGGTTAAAACTAAATCTAATAACGATGGTTTGTGTTCAAAATCGTAACGTGTTGCACATGTTACGTTTTGAACTAAAGCAGATTCTAAGACCGTCAAAAGTAAGTCATTTTCGAAGGAACCACCTGGTGGTGAGACTTTTAGCTCCGTCCAGTTTATGTGTGGAGCATTCAGATCCCCAACTATTAGGCATCTGTTACATCTACTCCAGTTACGTATATGGGTTAGTACGAAGTCATTTGCAAGGCAGGATGGACTACGGTAAATGACCCCGATAGTACAGAAACCATGCTTTGACTTCAGCTCGCAACTGGCCACTTCACAGGTCCCGCATTCATGTGCTTCAGAAGTGACTAACCGTACGTGGACGTCATCCCTAACATATAGTAGTATGCCGCCACCTTTGCGACCCACAACCCTATCCGTCCTTACACAGTAATACCCTGCGAGGAGTGGCGTAAAATCTAGATCCTTGATCAACCAGGTTTCAGTAAGGGCTACTACGTCAGGACCTAGCTCGCAGATTAGATTCTCGAGGTCTGTCATTTTGCTTCTAATACTGCGAACGTTAGTGTAGATAACTTTCATTGTGTTGGAAGAGTTCCATGACCCACCCATATAGGCCTTGGAAGCATTCGCTTCCAAGACCTCACAACCCGAAAACCCACTATTTTAAGATCATTTTCACCATTAGCCTGTCGAGCCTTAAGTTCGGCAACAGCTTCTCTTCTTTTTATGCGGTCCTCGAGGGGCCAGTCAGGTCGGATGCGGATATCCGAATTTCGTAGTTTGGATGCGTTACTCAAGAGTACATCCACTTCCTCCTTGTTGCCTAAAACAACCTTTAAAATTCTCTTCTCATCAGGTTTTTCGTCCATTTTCTTACCTAGCCTAACTACTTTGGAGATGTGTACCCCTTTAGACTTTTCAGGTAGAATACGTCTGATGGCCGACTCGACTAGTTGCAGGTCATGGCCGTGACGTATTGAGGCATCTTTGTCTGATGACTCCTCAACATTCCAGAAGATTAAACTGGGCGCTGGAGTGGAATCCGTGAGTCGTGTGTTGACTGCCTTTGAAACCTTCTCAATAGGTTTCATAAGCTTAGTATCTTCCGTGATAACCTTTCGCAGTCTCTTCGGATGCTTTCTTGGAGAAATCCATGTAGATTTGTTGACCACTTTTACAGAGTCAACGCTGTTACCAGAGATGCAGGCTTTCGGTG